CGTGGCAGCTGGCACGTCTGGGGGAGGGAATGGAAGTCGTTGCACGTGTTCTCGGCGAAGTCGTATTTTGCTGTGGAGCTTTTTGTCCCCTGTGGACTCTGCAGTGAAGGAAATGTGGTTATCATAGCTGTCGGGTGAAACGTCTATAAAACGGGTAACATTGCTTCCCTCTACCCGACAGAACTCCACCTGGGCGACAGGTGTCTGGACGGAGTGCTGAACAACAACAACTATGAATCCGACATCCTGAAGGTGCGTGGCCGCTGCCCTCTGCAGACACCTGCCACCGTTTCCTTGGCTTTACCCACCTCCGAGGGCCTTTTACAACCACTTACCCTCTTGTCCACGCTCGTGTTTTTCCTGACCCCTTGCCTCCCCATCATAGAACTACCTGGCCACCAGGGGTCTGACGTGGAAGAATGTGCTGACAGAGAGCCTGGTGGCTCTGCAGAGGGGCGTGTTCCTGCTGTCTGGTAAGCACCTCTGGAGAGCCTTGGCGCTGTCCATGGGCCCTGACTCTCGCCTTCCTTGCTCGGTTTCGTGCGATGTTTGCTGTGGGCACTCAGAGTTACAGGTCCTTTCTTATGTGCGTTTGGTTTTTGTGATGTACTAGGAAGTAGCTCAAGAGAAAGGTTATGTTTACTCTTCTCAGTACTTTGTTGGATTTTAAAGGAGATTTAAGGGTGTTTTTTTGTTTTAAAATATATTTTATTGATTTTTTTTTTTACAGAGAGGAGGAGAGAGGGATAGAGAGCTAAAAACGTCAGTGAGAAACATTGACCAGATGCCTCCTGCACACCCCCTACTGGGGATGTGCCCGCAACCAATGTACATGCCCTTGACTGGAATTGAACCTGGGACCTCTCAGTCCCCAGACCGACGCTCTACCGCTGAGCCAAACCGGTTTCGGCGGAGATTTAAGTTTTTAACCTCAGTGGACTTGTTTCGCAGTGAGGGAATAAATTGGCATCTGGGTTGGTTTTGTTCTTATTTCCCAAACCTCTAGCTCGCTGTCTCCCCTTTTATGGGTCAGTGTGTTCGTTCCCCACTGGTTTACATGGCCACGTATGTCCCGCCGTTCTGGACACGGATGCTCTGACATCTGGCTGTGCCCCATGAGGCTGTACTCTTCCAGATTACCGGGTCTCGGGCAGCACCGTGCTGTGCTACTGCTGCGGCCTGCGGAGCTTCCGGGAGCTGGCCTACCAGTATCGGCAGAACATTCCGGCCTCCGAGCTGCCCGGTAAGGGACCCCCTCCCGACCTGGCTCACTCTGTTTTCCATGGCTTCTGTGCTCTGGCATACTAGGCAGAAGCTCTGTCTGGCTTTGTGGGTGTTCTTGGCAGAGGCTGCCCGAGGTTCGTGCTGTGTCAGGGCCATCGCCCGCCTGGTGTCCGCTCAGCCCAGTGTTGGCTGTGGTGTGGGTTTCTAAAACGAGATGCACAAAACGCCCTCCGACAGCTGGAGCCTCCTCCTTTCCGGGGTGGGTGCTCAGGGAGCTCTTTGCCCTTTCCTGGAACGGGGAGACGGAATGCGCAGCAGAGTGCTGCCTCTCGGCCGCAGCATCTCTTTGGGGCTCCCGGTGAGCCCCCCCTGAGCTGCATGTGATGGGGGTACATGTGACACCCGTGGGCTTTTTCTCTCCTAGTGGCTGTGATGTCCCGTCCCGACTGCTATTGGGGTCGCAACTGCCGCACTCAGGTGAAGGCCCACCATGCGATGTGAGTGCCCTGTGCTGTGGGGCGGGGCGTGTCCGCTCGGGGCTCAGAGCGGGAGGGGGCTGACAGGCATAAGGGAGGCAGACCTTGTTCTCCTAACTGAAGTTTTCAAGTGTTTGGACAAGTTGGTATCTCAGCTTTTAGGGATGTTTGTGAACTAGCCAACTAGTATTCTATATACTAAAAGGCTAATATGCAAATTAACCCCTTTGACCGGGAGTTGGACCGGGGGCAGGATTGGCGGAACACTCGCAGCCCCTCCCCCCAGCTTACCTGCCAGATTGGCCCCAGTCAGCCCCGATTGGGGCAGGCCGGCTGGACCCCACCCGTGCACAAGTTGGTGCACCAGGCCTCTAGTCCCCTTATAAACATACTGCTCTGGTCATGTTGTATACAAAGTAGGGTGGTCATTGGGAACTGTTACTCCTTTACTGAAATACTTGGCATCGGAATGGAATGTTCTCCACAGTCCACCCCCATGAGCACAGCCTCGTTCGCAGCCGAATCATTTCCAGATCAGCAGCCATGGTCACTGGGACCAGTCTTCCCAAGCCCGGGCTCATGAGCGTGCCATTGCACACGGGGTCTGTCACTGGTGCCATGAGCGGGTGACTGTGTCCGCACTGAATTGGTCACTCACCAGATGTTTCCTACGAGGCTCTTAAAGGAGTAAGCTCACCTCTGCTTTTTTCTTTTCTAATATATATATTCTTTAATTTCATAGAGGAAGGGAAAGGAGAGAAAGGTAGAAACATCAATGATGAGAGAGACTCATTGATCAGCTGCCTCCCGAATGCCCCGCACTGGGGATTGAGCCTGGGATCCTTCAGTCCACTGGCCAACGCTCTTTCCACTGAGCCAAACCAACTAAGCTCACCTCCACTTTTAAACCGGAGGTGTGTCCATCAGTGTCTTGGGGATGCTGAGGACACGCAGCTTTGAGTCTCTTCTCCAAGAAAATTACCTAAAATTTGCAATTTATATCTTAAAGTTTAAAAAGGAGAAAAGAAAGCTTCCTCTGGTTAGTTTCTGTGAAAGTGTTAAGCGTATGCTGCTGTGAGCCCCCGTGCCCACCATTTCTTGTGTGGTTGTCCAGTGGGCAGTTTCGGAATTGACTTACCTGAATAATCCTCTGGCTGTGGTATGTAATGTGACTGCTTCCCCCCCCCCGCCCCCCGCAGGAAATTCAATCATATCTGTGAACAGACGAGGTTCAAGAACTAAGCGCTGAGGATGCACCACGATGGCTTGGAAGTGCAGGGGCCAATGACAGCGTGTTTCAGGAAATACGACATATGAACATTTTAAGGGCATTTTACACTTCCCTCAGGGCATGCTGGGGGTCTGTGCATCAAGCACTGGACTGTGACTTTGTCTGAGGAGGAGTCCCTCTCAGTGAGGCCCCTCAGTGGCCTGGGAGGCCTGGGGCCACCTGAAGTGCTTCAGCCAGAACAGCCACCAGTTGTCCCCCCCTACCACGATGGAGGTGAGCAGGTTTGCTCTGTACCTTCCCCACACCATGGTTAAAACGCACATCTCTCTCCAGGAAGAGTTCCTCGGCAGAGAGAGGACAGTTGGTCAGAAACGTTCTGCTGTTTAAGGAAAAGGTTTACAGGCTGTTCAGTGCCCCGTGGCAAAACTATGGTTCTTCGATGCTTTTTGTTTTAAAGGGTTGATGCTTCTCTTCTAGTAAGATTTAAAATGCCACAAACTAGAGCACAAGTAATATAATTTATATAATTTACAAGTTGACTAAAATTGGGGTAGGATGGTGTTGAAAGCATAAACGTGTTTCTCTGTATTAATGGAAATGTCACCAGGAGTCCAGAACTGCTAACCCTGGACCCTGACAGGGCACGGCCCCTCCCGGGCCTGGGCGAGCTGGGCTGCCACCACCCTGAGCCCATAAGGAAGCAAAGTGCTGGCCCTGCAGCTCCTCCCTCAGCATAGCTGCAGGCCCCACCCAGTGTGCCCATGTTCCTCATTCCTTCCTGTGGGGCCGTGGCCACGGGTGGCCAACGTGCCAGTTACAGGTCAGCCCTGGTGGCACCAACGACCTCCCTGGAGCAGTCTCTTCCCACCGAGAGCACGAGGGCCCTTTTTTTCCACTGGTCCTTGCCCTGCCCTCTAGCGTTGGGTTTGCTGTCATCTGGAATAATACTTGAAGTTGCGTTATTTGTAAAAGAAGAAATGTTTTTATTTTTTATTTTTTGTTAAAATCACCTGTTATGTTTGCAAAATTGTAATCTTTTTGCTTCTCAGGAATACAACGGTTGTCTTGCTCTTGATACAGACTGAGAAGCAGCAGTGTGTGTGAGAGAAGGCTGCCTTCCCACATCTAATAAACAAGCCACATCTGTTTCTCTCTCCACATGTTTGTTCTCTGGTGTGAGTTAGGATGTGCCTCTTATCATCACGGGGACAGGGGGCTGTAGACTTTGCTAGTTACTGCTTTCTAGTAAGAAGATTCCACCAAGCTGGTCCTCAGGCCTAGGTCTGAGCAACCCAAAGGCACAGGGTTTCTTAGATCCCTCAACCTGAAGGAGCCACGGGCTGGTGATTCCCATTGAAACCACAGGCTGTGTTATGTCTTTGTTGCAGGTGCGGGCCCTTTGCAGCAGAGGTAAGTGCTTTGGGTATCATGCCTAAAACAAAGGAGATGTAATACGCAGAGGCATACCATGTTCATGGACTGAAAGACTCAGCGTAGTAAAGCTAACAATTCTTCCCAAGTTCTATAGTTTTGTTCTAATTCCTATTAAAATCTCAGGAAGGATTTTTATAGACAAGTTCATTCTAAAATTTATACGATGGGCATGAGTCCCAGAATAGCTAGAACAATGAGGAAGAATGACAGAATATACTTCAGGGTATTACAGCTCTCTGCAAAGGTCCTGGGATAGCTCGGAGATCCCAGAACAGGGCAGAGATCCCAGAAACCCCCACACAAGCAGCCAACCCAGTGTCAAAGCGAGTTAGTGGAGGAAAGACAGTTTCTAATAAAGAGTGCGGGGACAATTTGATACCCGTGGTGGGGGGAAAAAGACCTAACCTACCACCTGCCAGCAATCGTGTGTTTAAAACGTTGCCAGGCTCTGAAGCAGGATTCATTTTCCTGGCGCGCTGGGAGGTTTGGGGAGCCCGTGGTCTTGCCTCCGCCTTTGCGAGCCGCGAACACCGCCCGGGGGCGGCCCCCTCCCCCCCTCCAACGGTGACCGCGCCCACAGTCTGACAGGTTGGGCGGGGCCGAAGCTTTGGACACGCCACTTCCACCGGAAGCTCAGTTACCCCGCTTCCGGTCGGAGTTGGTCCTGCCAGTGGGGACACTGCGTTTCTATGCGAAGAAGAGCCGCCCACTCATATTCTCAAGTCCGCTTCGGGCTCCTTGCAACTGGGCTCGATGCCGGCCCCGCAGCCGGGGAGGCGGCTGCGGACAGGAGGAGCCGGAGCTCGTTCTCTCCGGAACGAAGGCGGCGTGCACCGGCTGTTTCCGGGGGGGCCCAAGCCGTCGCCGCGCCCGACCCCGCCTCCGGCGCGGCCACGTCTCCGCTAGAGCAGCCGCGGGGCCGGGCTGCCGCCGCGGCGCCTCGGCTCTGGGGTGAGGGTCGCGACGGGAAACTTCCGGGCCGGGACTCCGCTGGGGAGGGCGCGGGGCGTCCGTGCGTCCCGGGGAGGTCGGGGCGGAGGGCGGGCGTTGGGGCGGCGGGGCCTGGGCGGACCCCGAGGGCGGGCCGCCCGCGTCTCCTCTGGAGGCGGCGACGCCCCGGGCCAGCCCGGCCCCGCTGCTCGCCCCGGGGCACGGGAGCTGCTGGTGCAGGTGCCGGCCGCTGGCCCCGGGAATGGCCCTTCGTCCGGGCGCTCGGGACGCCGCTGCGCGTGACGGGGCGGGATGTGGGGCAGAGGTGCCCGCGGCTGCTGGGGGCGCTGCCCGCCCGGGAGGCTCCGGCCCCGGTGCAGACGGACGTGCGGTCCGGGTGACAGGCGTCACGTGGTGCGGGGCAGGGAGTGAGGCCGGGTGTGCGTGTGCGTGTGCGTGTGCGTGTGTGTGTCTGTGTGTGTGTGCTTGCATGTGTGCGTGCGTGTGTGTGTGTGCGTGCGTGTGTGTGTTTGTGTGTGTGTGTCTGTGTCTGTGTCTGTGTCTGCCTCTCCCGCCACCTGGACGCCACCTCGCCCCCTCGGGCGGTGGAACTTGGCAGGGCCAGTGGGCCCCACACTGTCCCTAGGACGGAGCAGGTGGGCCGGTCAGACCTCCGCCCGCAGGTGCTGGGTGAGTGTCAGGCGTGTGCCGGGTGTCGTTCCCGCCCTCGCCTTGTCTGGGAGGGAAAGGGACCTTCAGGGAGGTGATGGCGGGGAGTGTCGGCTGGTGCTTGGGTGGGTCTGGCAGGCCGTGGTGGGGAGGTGACTTTTGAGCCAATGACAGGAAACTAGCCTTGCAAAGCTGTGGAATAAGAGTTTCAGGCAGCCCTCGCCGGTGTGGCTCAGTGGATAGAACGTCGGCCTGCGGAGTGAAGGGTCACGGGTTTGATTCCGGTCAAGGGCATGTGCCTTGGTTGCGGGCACATCCCCAGTAAAAGGTGTGCAGGCGGCAGCTGATGGATGTTTCTCTCTTATCGATGTTTCTAACTATCCCTCTCCCTTCCTCTCTTTAAGAAATCAATAAAATGTATATATATTTTTTTAAATAAAAAGAGCGTTTCAGGCAGCGTGAACAGCAAGTGTGAGGTCGGAGGGAGGCATCAGGGTGGGGTCCTCCAGAGGGAATAGAGGCCAGGAGGGTGCTGCCCCAGTGTTTACGATGGGCGGCCTGGGTTTTATGGTCCGTGTGACGGAAACCGCTGGCATGTTGTAAGCCACATACAGGTGACTCATGGACTTTTTAAAAAAATTCTGATTTGTCGCCTTGTCCAGATGGCTACGCTGGTTGGAGTGTCGTCTCGTATACTGGAAGTGGCGGGTTCAATTCCAGGACAGGGCACATCCCTGGATTGCTTTTTTTTTCTTTTCCTAAAAAAAAAATATATATTTTTTTTGATTGATGCCCTGCTTTTATTACATTCCTGGGACCTTCCTTGAAAGCTCCTACTGCTCCTTACTTTTTACCCCCATTATGACATGAGGTACATATCATGTTCCATTTTGGTTTCTGGAGACCCCCCAGCGCCTGAGAGAGCTTTGTCTTGTCACTACCACGTCCTCCGGGCCTGGCCAAAGCACCCAGAACTACAGGAAGGTTGACTGACTGGAAATTCTTCAGCGAGAAGCAAGGAGAAAACCAGAAGGGGGCGCGGAGGAGCTGGAAAAAAACCTAAAAATATTTTTATTGATTTCAGAGAGGAAGAGGGAGGGAGGGAGGGAGGGAGGGAGGGAGGGAGGGAGGGAGGGAGGGAGAGAGAGAGAGAGAGAGAGAGAGAGAGGAGAGAGAGAGAGAGGGAGAGAGAGAGAGAGAGAAACATCAGTGGTGAGAGAATCATCCTTAGGCTGCCTCCTGTGCACCCCACACTGCGGACTGACCTGCATTCACTAAGCCACACCAGCTGGGATGGATTGGATTGCATGTGAGATCCCCAGTCCTGGTGTGTGCAGGAGGCAACTGATCAGTGTTTCTTTCTCTATCTTTCTCTCTCAGTCTCTCTCTGTCTCTCTCTCTCTCTTGGCATAAAAGTTTTTTTTAATTATTCCTTTAATATCACAAACTTCACCCTTTACAGGAATGAGGAATCTTGAATAGTGAGAAAAGGAAATAAATCATGACATCACTTAGACTCAAAGTGGCCCTCCTCTTTTTGGCTGGTTGCCTTAAGTAGCAATATACTTTAAGTGAGAATATATTCAGTTGTTTGTACCTATCGATTTTGACAAGCAACAATTGAAAGGAAATAACACTAATGATAGCCATTTTTAAAAATATATATTTTATTGACTTTTTTTATAGAGAGGAAGAGAGAGAAACATCGATCAGCTGCCTCCTGCATGCCCCCTATTGGGGATGTGCCCACAACCAAGGTACATGCCCTTGACTGGAATCAAACCCGGGACCTTTCAATCCACAGGCTGATGCTCTTTCCACTGAGCCAAACCGGTTAGGGCAATAATAGCCATTTTTGAGGGCATAGGACAGACCCTGTGCCTTATTGCATTTAGTTGTGGCAACATGTTGTGTTATTTCTCTCTCCCTCTTCCTGGTGAGAGTGGTTAAGCGATGTCCCCATGCTCTCTCAGCTGAGGTGGGGGGGAGGGGGGGGTCGTGCCTGAGCCTGTGCATTCTGCCGGAGTCTGTCCAGGAGGCCTCCCAGGACTCAGTCTGTGTATGGTCTCTGTACTCCCATCACGATCCATTCTGCATGGGTGGAGCAGGCATGCCAGCCTCCGTGGGCGCCTGCTCACAGGACAGGTAAGGAGATGCTCAGAGTGCGTGCCCCTGGAGAAGCAGGTACACCTGTGTCCGATCTCCATGTGAGGACCACTGCCTGACTCATCCCAGCATCTGTGGGATTTGTAAGCTGGAGAGAAATTGATATCTCAACCCAGCCATGTGCCCTTGAGCAGAATCAAACCCTGGACCTGTCAGTCCCCAGGCCAACCCTCTGTGCACTGAGCCACACCAGCTAGGGCTGAAACCTATTCTAAAGGAAGTAAATGCCAACATTCTGGAAGAACGAGTAACAACTAACACCGTATCTGTTGACGAGGAAACTCAGCAATCATATCCTCAGCCGTGTCCTAGCTGGCATCGTTCAGTGGTTGGAGCATCAGTCCTCATAATACCGAGGGGTTTTGGGTTCAATTCCCGGCCTCTGTAGAGTATTTGTGGGAGGGGGGGCAGTCAGTGTTTTTCTCTCTCAGTCTCCTTCCTCCCTTCCTTTCATTCTCTCTAAAAATAGATGGAAAAAACATCCTCAGGTGAGGATTAACAAACAAGAACATTCTCAGCCACTTTACAAGCAATAGCCAGTTGCCAAACCGGGCAAAGTTTGTACTCTTAAATTTAGCCTCACAAGCCAAAACCTGTTTGAATCAGTGGATAGACTAAAGGCTCCCAGGTTCAGTTCCGGTTAGGGGCATGTACCTTGGTTTCAGGCACATTCCCAGTTGGGGAGGGGGTGTGTGCAGGAGGCAGCTGATGGATGTTTCTCTCTCATCGATGTTTCTGACTATCTCTTCCTTCCTTCCTCTCTGAAAAAGACCGATAAAATATCTTTTTCTTCTTTTTAACTTAGCCTCATAGGATGGGCTAACGGATGCTGGTCTCCTGTGAGATGCTCTCTGCCCCCATCCTACAGTGGCTGCCTCTCCTTGTCCTTGACCCCTGTGCTTCCCACACAGAGGACAGTGACCACGATCCCACAGCCGGCTCTCAGCCGCGGCCACGGCCCCTTCACGCCGGGTCTGAAGGGGAGTCCTCGGAGCGCTTAGGCTTGTGTTCCACACAGAAGCACCTGTCCACATGTGGCTGCTTATACCAAGTTAGTTAAATTTACAGGGAATAAGTAGTAAATAAAATTAGTATGTGAAAGCTCAGTTCCTCACCCCTACCACCAGCTCAGTGGCCATGTGATAGTTACAGAGCCATTATGGCTCTTCTCGGTCCGGCAGACGGTCTTGGGCCAGCACCGGTAATGGTGGTAAGCACCTTCGGAAGCAGGCCCGGTGTGGCTGGCTCAGCATTTTATTCTCAAAACCTGGGATGTTGTGGGCACTCGGGATTTTTGTTGAATGAATACATTTGTATTTGTTTCTTACACAGATGCCAATCAGGAAGCAAATCTTAATCTTGGAATTGTTGCTTCACATGAGACAATGAAGTTTTGTAATATTTTGTTTGTATTTTCCCTCCTCTTAGGTATCGTAATCCTTGGTTTAATGTCAAGTCATTTATAAGACTTTAAATCCTTTGAAAATGGAAAACCCTGTGCCATCCTTGCCGGGGGATCCTGACTGTTGGTGATGGCAGCTCCCGTGCAGCCTCTGCTTGTCAGCCCCGTCTGAGTCGTCCTGACCATGGACGGAGTGTCGGCCATGCAGGGCGGCCTCTTGGAAGATGGATCCTGCAGCGGCACCGCGGCTGGTCCTGACGCCCTCCCGCAGCCCCTGGGCCCTCCGGCGCCAGCTGACGGGTGGGATGGAGCCCAGCGTAAGTCCCGTGAGCTGCTGACACCACCTTCACACAGGAGATGTGGGTCAGCTAGCATTTTAGAGGAAGACTGGGGTGTTTAAGACGATCGTGACCTTTTCATTTAAAATGTGACTTCAGTGTCAGATGCGTGTCTTTTCTTAGTTGATGCCATCTTTCAATCAAGTGCCATGCTTGTAAACAGAACAGAAACTTCCCCGCTTTCTGCCCCAGCGAGGAGGGGCTGCAGTGACTTCTCTTAAAGTTTCTCACACATCGTTATTCCCGACCTAGTATTCTGCCTTTTTGTTTAGTTGGCTGCCAGAATGTTGCTAACGGACCCAGAGCAGTGCATTAGTGAGCTAAGGATTATGGGACCACATTGCATGTAGGCGGGTGGGTTATTTGTTCCTCAGAAGTACAGGGGTGAATTATTCACTTAGTCTTTCTACCCCATTCTGGTCAGGATGCTCAGTGCTGTGTGTGCTTGAAAATTATAGAGTACTGATGTAAGTAGTAGCAGAAATTGCATTATGGTTCTTGAAAACCATGTTCTAGCTCTAAAATGGCTTTGCTGGTTTCTGCTCCTGAGTGCTGAGTGAGGCTGGTGACAGCATGGGCCCAAGACCAAGGATCCCACAGCGGGCAGAGAGGGAGCCAGCCTGAGATCTGCCACAAAGTGCAGCAAGCCCTACCGGGGGTCCTGAGTTAGCCCAGCCTCACTGTCCTCGTGTGAAAGGGAAGACGAGTGGAAGCTGCCTCTCAGTCGTCATGGGGGCTGGAGGAAGTGACCCCTGTAAAACAGGCATAAGCAGGTGGGACAGTGACGTCGCCATTGCTGTTTGTCCAGTGAGGTCTGTTTGGGCCTCCTTACTGCTAGATATTTTCAGAAGTACAGTATGATGCTCAGGGTTACTTTGTTATGTAAACAATAAAGTTTCGAGGCTCTCCCAGATCTGTGACCTCATCTGACATGCAGGACCCCATCCCCACATACACACAGTGAGGCCGCCGAGGTCTCTGAGGGAGCAGACTCCGGTGGGTCCGTTGGGTCAGGGCCGTGGATGGGCCCCTCTCTCTGCTTGTGTCTGAGGCACCATTTGTGTTCTGGTTTTGCTTTAGGGAGCATGACTGTACAGAGCTGTATTATTGGGACTCGCATTTTAAATGACAGAAACCCATTTTAAATTCACTTGGACCAAAGGGATGCCGTAGGCCCCTCCCTCCCTCCCTCCACACACCGTATTGGTTCTTGAACCCCCACTGGGTGGCCCACCAGGAAACAGGGCAGGGAAAAGACTGACAGTCATTGAATTGTAAGAAGTCTCTTCCTGTTTTCCTTCAACTAAGGAAGTAGGTTTAAGTTAACGTGTAAACAGTGTATGTGTGATACTGTCTGGGAGAAGCTGAGCTGGATATGTGGGTGTGTTGTCATCTTTGGAAAAACTCTGGCTCCCACCTTCACAGGTGCTCGTTGAGCAGAAGCACAGATTTGGGGTGGATCAGCTGATCGGAATAACTGCGGCAAAGCTGTCAGCTGATGCACCTCTTGCTTTAGATTTCTCGTGTTGGTGGGTGACTGTGTGGCTGTGGCTCTGATTAGCACTGGGGTTCCGGAGCCTTAGTAGAAACATGGTCAACTGTGTTTTAAGCATTTGTCTTCATTGTTGTCTTGTGAACACAGACTCACAAGCTTTCTTGTTGGTCTTGTTTACATGAAAAGGAAATGATACTTAAGTTCTTCAGAGTGGGAGGTGAGGGCATTGCACGGGTGAGGGTGGTGGGCTCTGAGTGGTGGGGCGACCAGTCCCATCCCCGCCCATGCAGGCAACCAGGGCCTGCTTTCCTCCCAGCGAGAACGGGAGGAAAGGGTGCTGGGAGTGCTCACGCCCATGCCGCTAGGTCCCCAGAGGCCTTTGACTGCGTGTCTGCAGAATGACCGGGTCGGGTGGTGGTTGTCGGATGACCCAGCATGCCCTCTCTTCCAGGTGCCAGCGCCGGGGCGGACAGAGCTACGGATGAAGGAGAAAGCCCCGACGGGCCCAGCGAGGGGGACGCCTGTCAGAACGGGCCGATGCCACAGCTCCCCGGCCCGCCGTCGGCTCTCGGTCCCACCAAGAGCCCAGCGGGTCCTGCTGCGCCTCCAGGTGTGGCTGGTTTCCATGACAACCTAAGGAAGTCTCAGGGGACTAGTGCTGAGGGCAGTGTTAGAAAAGAAGCTTTGCAGTCTCTCAGACGCAGTCTTCCTATGCAAGAAACGCAACTGTGTAAGCATCCGACCCCGCCTCCTCCCCTCACCTCCCTCCCCAGCACCCGTCAGTCACGTCAGGGGCCTTCTGTTTGTCACAGCGGACTGTGCGTGTATCGCGTGGCTCCGTTGCAGAGAGAGAGGACACATCTTCGTGGTTCGATATTCGTGGTGGGACTCCAGGTCCAGATTTAAAGGGCCTTTTGTCATCCTGGGTGGTGAGCAGGCAGCCTGTGGGGAATTAGTCTCAGCAGTTAGCTCTTTGGAAGCTTTCTTTGATGAGTTAATTTAATCAACATGGGTTTTGTGCCGGCCCCTGAGGGTTTGGGGGTGAACAAATCACAAACTGGCAGTCTGTGAGGCCAAGAAGTCTCCACTTCTTTCTCATACCCAGACGTGTAATTTCACACTGTGGTCATACACCCCTGTGCTCTCATGACCCTACCTGGGCCTCTGTGAACAGCCAGGGTTGGGTCATTGCTCCCATTATCGCACGGAGCTCACTCAGCACGGCCACGTGGCTTCCCGGGCCGTCTGTGCAGCGCGTGTCTTGTGCGCACTTCTGGGGCTATGTCCCAAGAGCAGGCTTCTTGGTCCAAAGCATTGAGTGTTTTTACGTATTCCCCCACGAGTGGCCTTACGGAGAGCTCACCGTCGCCCACCCTCTTGCACCCGGACACGTTCTCCGTCTCCACCGGTCTGATGGGTGCGCCTGGTGCTTCCTGGTGACTGGGTTGTGAGCCTTGTACTTGCCTGATTGCTGGAGGGTGGGTTGGCCATTCGGTCACTCCTTCCTGTGAATTGTTGGTTGATATGTTTCAGCCCGTTTTTCTTTTGGGTGGTTTGCCTTTTTCCTCACAGGCATTATTGTATTAAGGCTGTGGTATATTCTTAAAATTTCTGGAAACTCATTGCAACATTTAAGCAAGAGACATGTAAAAGCCTGAATTCCCGCTGAGGGTGTGTGAGCTCTGGTGCCCTTATGGCAGCGACCACCACTTCCCTTCTCTGGGAGCGTTCACTCATGGCCTGACTCTCAGGCTGTGTCCCTGGTGCTGAGCTTGCAGCCACAGGCCTCTGGGTTTCTGCCATCCGGACCACTGAGCCTGGAGAAAAGTACCCGACGTCTGGTAAACGCACAGATTAGTAATGACGTTGGTGGCTTCGTAGTGGAATCATTGGACTTCCATTGCTCAGCTCTTAGGGTTTATTTAAAACGAGAGCTGCATATCTTCTGCATCTGAAGGGGTTAAGCTAGGCCATTCATCTGCCCTCATCAGCGTATTCCCCTCTGGGTTCCAACATACCTGCCTGCTGTCCGTGACAGAAACCTGTGGCTTGTACCATTGCCTTCACTCTTCACCCTTTGTTATCAAAGTAAGACGTTTGGGTTTAGAGAGTTTAAATCTTGCTATTGGCCAAAAATATAACATGACTCTTTATTGCAGGGATTTAGGTAAGCTGTGGGTAAAGTTCTGTCTCCAAATGTAATTGCATGAAGAAAATTTGGTGTGACAGGCTCCCATGACTGGGTGTCACTCCACCATGACTGCTCCTCAATGGTTCCTCTAACCTCAGAGGTCAGAGTGACAGCACCATGAGGCCCACCATGGGCACCGACTTTTGAGTTCAGTTCTTCTGTTAGTAAGGGGCAAGTTTGCCCGTGTCCTGTTGTCCCCTCTGGATGCTGTAGGGACCCCAGCCCTGGGCATAGCCAGAGCATCTTCTATCAGAAGGTCCTGTTGGCCACCAGTGTCCAGGGCTCACGGTTTGTTTGTTTTTTTCATTTGGAAGTAGGCTTTCAAACTAGGCGGTGTGCATTGTTTAGAAGCTAAATCATGTTGTTCATTATGATGACAGCCAAGCTGCTGTTTTGTCCTGTGTTCCCTGTGCTTCCTGAGTTTCTAAGTGGTCGTTTCCCCACCCAGGCTCAGCAGAGGAACTGCTGCCGCTGGAGAAGGAGGAGCAGGTGCGACTGCAGGCTCGGCGGCGGCTGGAGGAGCAGCTCACGCAGTACAGGGCGAGGCGCCAGCAGGAGCGCGTGAGTCCTGCTCTCGAGCAAACTAACGGGGAACTTGTGTGTCATGGGCCATGACTAGTCAGACGGAGTTCCAGGACCTGCCTTCACTTCTCTGTGCTTCTCTGGGAAGTCTTTCTCCCACTGGTCCCCACCCTGGGAATTTCCAGCAGTGCCCTGGCTCCCCCCGCTGGTTCTTCTCTTGGAACAAGCACATTTCACCCTCCAGTCTGCTGTTTGGAGAGGGGCGACAGCCAGTCCTGGGGTGGACAGCACTGCTCTCTCACCGGAGCAGCCAGCCAGTCCTGGGCCTCCAGGAGAAATGGTGTTCACGCGTGCTGGGGATGCCTCCGTGAGCTCTAGAGCGGGGACACACACACACACACACACACACACACACACACACACAACTTCCTTCTGCCCGGGGCCATGTGAGTATTTACAACATTATCACCTACACATGAGCCTGCTGTATTGGGTCAACCACTTTCTTAACTCACCCCTAACGCATGGGCAAGGCCAGAACAAGGGTTTCACGGCCGACGTTCCCCACCTGTGCTCCAGAGGATGAGCTAAAAATAACAAGTTTATAAAAATATGTAATTACTAAAGCAATTAGGGTTTAGGAATTTGGTTTAAAAGTATGAGTATTAAAAATCAAGCCCTAGCCAGTTTTAGTCAGTGGATAGATCATCAGCCTGTGGACTGAAGGGTCCCAGGTTCGATTCCGGTCAAGGGCACTTGCCCAGGCTGTGGCTTGATTTCCACTGGGGGGCGTGCAGGGGGCAGCCTATCAGCGAGTATCTCTCATCATTGATGTTTCTATTTCCCTCTCCCATCCTCACTGAAATCAATAAAAATAAACATTTTAAAAAATCTATAATTATCTTAATATTTATAATGGAAGAGACAAAGTAAGCATTAGATTAAAGTGGCAGAAAAGTGGTTTAGAATCTAGAAGAACTGTGTAACTTCCTTTGAAAGCAGTTACGAATACGTGGAGGGAAATAGCTCGTGAACCTCAAAGAACTTCTTGTAAAGTAGAGTTCTAATTCAACAGGACTGCTTTTTATAACTTGAAGAAAGCGTAAAGCTCATCTCAAAGTACAAGCATGAGGGTATAGCCGGGGAAGTGCTCTGAGGAGGTGTGAGGAGGGAGGACTTCTGGTATTTCATTGTAAAGAAGTCACAGTCGTTGCCGGCATGTGCTTGGGTGGTCACTGGTGACGCGGGACAGTGAGGCCGCCAGGGCGGGGGAGCACACACGGGGGCTTGCTTGTTCTGGCATCCTCTCGGGGGGGCACATCTTGAATGCCGTTGTCCATTTCAAACATAGCATCATGCCTTCCTTTCCTTCTCAGTCCAGCCAACCTGCAACTAAAACAAGACCTTTCAGCACGCTGGACCCTGAGCTCATGTTGAACCCTGAAACCTTACCCAGGGCCAGCACCGTGGCGATGACCAAGGAGTACTCCTTCCTGCGCACCAGTGTGCCTCGGGGCCCGAAGGTGGGCAGCTTAAGGCACCTGGCACATTCTAAGGAGAAGAAAAGTTCCAAATCAAGCAAAATCCGGTCCCTGGCTGATTACAGAACTGAAGACTCGGATGCCGGGAATTCTGGTGGAAATGTTCTGGCCACAGACTCCGCCAGGGGCTCCCTGAAGCAGAACCGAGGCAGCATGACGTCAGTGGTGTCTGAGGTCAGCCTGGGCCCGGAAGCTGAGGACCTGGAGAACTCGTCCCTTCCTGGAGACATGTCTGAGGCCGACGGGAATGAGAGTGACAGCTCTTCCTACAGCGGTGTCTCCACCAGGGGGGTGCACGGCCTGCTGGTGAACAGCGAGGGCACGCAGGAAGCAGCCTATGTGATCAACGGCCAGGAGATCGCCTCCAGCTCTCTGGGCCAGTTCCCGTCCATCACAGATGTCCTCCAGGCCGCTGCCGCTGAGCACCGAGACCGGGGCCCGGAGGTCAATGGGGAGACGCGGAGCCGGACGGACAGCATCTGCAGCAGGTGGGCGCTGTGCACTCGGGGCCCATCACAGCACCTAACTCATCCTAAGTCCTTCACATGTTAAGTCTGTCCTTGTAAATATGGAGTTAGAGCTGCTCTGCCGTCGCCTGCAATCCTAGGACATCCTGTCCTCCAGCGTTCATTTAGACCTGCCTCTGAAAAGGCTCACCTCCACACGGGAGCTCCAGTGATGTGGGGCTGAGCAGGCCTGGCTGCGGGGGTGGGAGGGTTTCCACTGGGGTCTTTGCTTGTTTACTTTACCCCTTGGCGGAGAACAGCAAGGGTGTGGAGGTTTGGAGAGCATGGGCACATGTAAAGGTAACGGTCACTCGTGTCCCCACCACCTGATCCTTTGTGCCGTTTCCTCCAGCGTGTCCATGGAGGGGTCTGTGGCTGAAACGCATGATGAGATGCTGCAGGTTCTTAAAGAAAAAATGAGACTTGAAGGACAGCTGGAAGCCTTAACCCAAGAGGCTAGCCAGGTAAGGGGGTTTGGTGAGCGGGTGGTGTGCCATGTGCTTCCTGATCGTGGTGGGGTCCGCTCGTCTTTATGAATAAGTTGCAGTTCCGCCTTCTCTGGGGTGATTGTCACGTCAGACCCCTGGGTAGTTTGGGCAGCGTGGCACTGTCCTGGAGAGCTCACCTGTCGACACTGCCTTTGCCTCACTAGTTGGTGTGGCCGCCTTCTGAACGCTCAGGGTGGAGGGACTAGATTTCCTGACGGTCAGTGTGGCTTCTGACTGTCTTTCCAGGCGCTGAAGGAGAAGGCGGAGCTGCAGGCGCAGCTGGCCGCCCTGAACACGCGGCTGAAGGCGCAGGAGGAGCACAGCCACAGCAGCCAGCGGAAGCAGGACGCACTCAGCTCGGAGGTGGACACCTTGAAGCAGTCCTGCTGGGACCTGGAGCAGGCCATGAGCGACCTGCAGAACACGCTGGAGGCCAAGAACGCCAGCCTGTCGTCCTCCCACCGCGACCTGCAGGTGGCAGAGGAGCAGTACCAGCGCCTCCTGGCCAAGGTGGAGGAGATGCGGAGCAGCATGCTCAGCAAGGACAGCACCGGTGCGTGCGGGCCGGCGTCTGCGGGCCTGGCCGGGCGGGCGGGGCACCTCACAAACCTGCTCTGAGGACCCACCTGCTGCCGTGGGAATGTGCCGGGGGTGTATTCCCTTCCGATCTGCACACAGGTGCCCACTTTTCTGCACGCCCACGGGGGAGCCGAGGTCTTAGAGGTGATTTGCTGTTTTAAAAGAGCCTGAAACGCAGTGGTGGTCCTCAGAGTGAGGGGCCGCGAGGTGTTCAGTGGAGAAAAGGGGTGTGAGGGGAGCTTTGTGCCACCGGAGTCCTGGTGCTCATGGGTCATGTAGGCGACAGACACGCACGACAAGGACCAGCTGATGAAATGTCGTGGCCAGAACCTAGCCCTGTGCCCCAGGAGCCATAGCTCAGCACCAGGCGTGGTCGGGCTGGTCCCTGCCCGTCATTGAAGCCGAACGGACCTGGACGTCCGCACGGAGCTCAGGCTCCTGCCGGGGGCTGCTCTGAGCGCGGTGCTTTCTCGCTTCCAGTGCACGACCTGCGGCAGCAGATGACGGCCCTGCAGAGCCAGCTGCGGCAGGTGCAGCTGGAGCGCACGACGCTCACCAGCCGGCTGAAGACGTCCCAGGCGGAGATCGCGTCTCTGCAGAGCGTCCGGCAGTGGTACCAGCAGCAGCTCGCCCTGGCCCAGGAGGCCCGGGTCAGACTGCAGGGCGAGATGGCCCACATCCAGGTACGGCCCACCAGCCCCGGGCAGCTCCCCTACAAGTCCCTTGTGAAGCCGCTGCTTTTCCCTAAATTAAAAAGGCTTCAGCGTTTAGAGTCCACAGATGCGTGTTTTAAAAACCTGCTACCCACTCACCTAGCCCACACCCACTCTACACAGCAGGCATCTTTGTGACCAGGGGGTTGCAGCCCCTGGAAATGCCCCCCTCTGGGACATTCTGTGGTCCCAGTTCTGACTGCTGTGCTCGCTGCCCTGTGAGGGCGCCTTCCATCCCGTGACCCTGTCTCACACGCGCGCCACCTGGTCTCGACTCTCCTGAGACTGTTTCTGGCGCCGAGTGCGCATGGCTTCCCTTCCAGCTGGGGAGGACCAGTGCTCCCCCCCTTGCTTTGGTGAGGAGCCAGCACAGGTGCACTCGCGTGCCGCTCCCGCCCCACCGAGCTCTGCCCTGGCGGACTCGGAGCAGCCGGGGAGTGGCTGCGAGCCTCCATGCTGTGGACGAATCGGGTTGACCATGGGGATGCCAACCAGCCTTAGGCCTCTTCTCTCTCTTAATTCCGCTCTATTTCTCAAATAGAGGATGTGACGTTCTCATTCTACCCAACGCTCCGTTTTAACAACTGGAGTCTGCACATGTACAAAATAGGAGCTTTCTTAAATTTCCATTATACGTTTAAGCTAAAGGACCACACAGACAAGCATTGGTTCTGCTTACAGTATATTTAGAAATCATTTTACAAGGTAATAAAGAAGCCAGATTTAGGTAAATGACCAAAGTCAGAAATGGCGTTTGGAAGATAAAAATTGGAACAGTCCAGGGAGAGGCAGTTTGAGAAATGTAACTGCTTTTTACCAATCCCCTGGGGCCCAGGCTCAGCGTTCCTTACTTAGGGTGTTCACCGCATTGCCCCCTTGTCCCAGGAACACAGATGTGTTTTCGGGACAGTCCAGCGGGGAGGGAGTCAGGGCGGTCTTACTCTGTCCTTCCCTCGAGACACGGCCCCAGCACACGGCGTCCCCTCGCTCCGGCAATCCCACGAGACCCTGTCCTCGGGTGCTCCTGTTGGATCTGGAAGGGACGTGCTCCAAGGTCCCGGGGCAGACGTGTGTCCTCTAGACTCCTCTCCCCCGGCCCCTCCTCTGGGCACCAGTGTGTGTGAAGCTGGGCTCCTCCTTCCCCAGGAGTCAGTGGTCAGAGGAGGCCTGACGGATGGCCAGGTCAGACCCTCGCCTGGACTGCCGGTGCTATTTCCTGCAAATGGCTCGGTCAGCCTGGTGTGCCAGGCCAGTCAGACACTGACCTGTGTCGGTCCCAGCTGGCCAGGTCACCTGAGGGGCAGACAGACCTCCAGCGCCTGCCTCCAGGTGCAGGCCCTCACTTTAGGGCTCACAGATGCACCTCCAGTGGGAACTTCTGGGTGTGGATCGCACCACAAACTACACATTCTCGGGAGAAAGACCATTGGCTTCTGGGCTGCCGGCCTGCTCCGAGGCACACAGAAACCCCTGGCCCTGGCGTCAAGGTGGCTGACGGGAAGGGAGGCCTGTGTGGTGGGCTCCAGGGAGCTGCCTCTCGGGGGCCCCCGCTGGGCAGAGACCCTCACCCTGTGGCCTCGGGGACTTGAAACCCAGCAACTCTCCATCTTGCTTTTTCCTTGCAGGTGGGACAGATGACCCAGACGGGCCTCCTGGAGCACCTGAAGCTGGAGAACGTGTCCCTGTCGCAGCAGCTGACGGAAACCCAGCACAGGTCCATCAAGGAGAAGGAGCGCATCGCCCTGCAGCTCCAGGGCATCGAGGTGAGCCCATGGCCGCAGCCAGGCCCGCAGCGGCTCTGTTTGGTGCTATGTTCTTTTTTTTTTTTTTTTCCGTCCACTGGTCAAGAATAAGAAAATATGCAAATACATATGTACACAAATGTATGTAAACACGAATATCACACATACATTTGTATGTCTTCTGAAATATGAACCCCTGCTGTGGTCAGATGTGCAGACTCAGTCCCTCCTGTTCTCACTGAACGGTCAGTGGTCAGTGGTCTCTCCTCTCCTCTGACCCTCAGTGGCCTGGGGCCTAGTGCCCAGCCCGGTGGAGGGGATGCTGGGCGGAGAAAGGAGGGGCTGAGGACCGTGTGTGTCCGAGAGCATTGCAGAGTCTGGCGGAGCTAAGTTCTCTTGTCCTGGAGCACGCAGCCTGCGCCGCTGTCCAGCCCTCCGGCACTGAGCCTGAGGGAGAGGGCCGCTGCCTCCCGCCCCGGGGCCCTCAGCTCCTCCGTGTGCAGGTCGTGGACGGACGGTGCTGTGGTCGGACCCGGACCTCTCGCCATGTGGAGGGTTTTTGTGCTCGGTCTGCGGTGGCTGTCAGGTGGTCCTGCTTTCTAACATACACTCTCTCCCGGGCCCAGGCTGACATGTTGGACCAGGAAGCCGCCTTTGTGCAGATCCAAGAGGCGAAGACGATGGTAGAGGAGGACCTGCAGAGGAGGCTGGAGGAGTTCGAGGAGGAGAAGGAGCAGCTGCAGAAGATGGCGGCCTCTGCAGCAGCCCTGGAGCAGCAGCTGGAGCAGGCAAGCACCTGCCTCACCTCGCCCGGGGGCCAGGCCGCTCGCTGGCCTCCTGTGGCTGGCCTCCCTGGGCCCCTGTGAGCATCCGTGCTGTCTGTGTGTGAATTCATTTGAGTGTCGCATCGTCAGAGCTGGTGCTTCTGTGAGTGTTCTCGTCTGCCAGACCTTTACGCACAGACGGCTGCCTGCACGGCGCCCATGCGGATGTTGTGAAACCCGAACCGGGAAGCAGTGTCAGTTCTGGAGCGGACGGCATATTGAGTCTGGTCCTCTTTCCAGGTGAAGTTAACCCTGCACCAGCGAGACCAGCAGCTCGATGCCTTGCAGCGGGAGCACCTGGACCTGCTGAAGCAGTTCACCTCGACGCAGGAGATGCTGCAGGGCCGAGAGCAGGCGCTTGGCGACCTGCAGGTGCGCTACGATGAGCTGCAGGCCCGGCTGGAGGAGCTGCGGGGCGAGGCCACCTCCAAGGACGACGCCATCCACTTCCTGCAGAACGAGAAGATTGTCTTGGAGGTGGCTCTGCAGGCAGCCAAGAGCAGTGGCGAGGAGCTCGATAGAGGGGTCAGGAGCCTGGAAGAAGGTGCCGAGGAAACGTCGGGAATCTTGGAGCAGCTGAGACAGGAATTAGCCGTTAAGTCCAGCCAGGTATCGAGAACCATTGGCCCTCATTTTGTTCATATTCCACCCACGCATGCCAGTGTCAGTGCTAATGGTTTGGTTCTTTCCTTAAACCCCTTGTTTTGTAAAATGGAAGTGTGGCTGGGCCCAGGGCTTAGTAACGCTGAGCGCGCCTGCCCTCGTAGGTGGAGCACCTGCAGGAAGACGCCAGCCTTCTGAAAAAGCAGATGCAGAAAATAAAGGAGCAGTTTCTTCAGCAGAAGGTAAAGTTGAGTTGCTGGTGTTCTGTATGCGAAGTAAGTGTGTGAAAACAATCTTTTAAGTGGTTCAGTCACTTCACTAGAAAAAGTTGATCAAGAGCAAGGTAATGTCTAGATGCTTTCAATTTTTTTAAATTTTTTTATCCTCATCAGTGGATACACTTACTGGTTTTAGAGAGAGGGGAAGGGAGAAAGAGAGAAGGAAAGAAATCAGCCACCTCCTTTACACACCCCAACCAGGGGTTGAAGCTGCAACCTAGGTATGTGTCCTGACCAGGAATCAAACCCACAACCTTCCGGTGTGTGGAACGACACTCGACCAGCTGAGCCCCCCGGCCAGGGCTAGACTCCTTCAGCTTCTAATGGCACTTGTTTAACTGTGAGGCATGGCCCCCCCATCTTAATGTCTCCAGAGTCAGGTGCATCCACAGTGGGGTGGGCACCTGACCTCGGGGATCCTGCCCTGAGTGTGTGTCACCACACACAGGCTGAGGTTCTGTTTAACGTGCTTGAAACCACGCCACGTGACCCGGCGTTGACATAGGTCATGGTGCACATGTGGTGTGTGTGTGTGTGTGTGTGTGTCTGTGTGAAGCGTCGCCAGCCCAGGGTCTGAGGGGGATGGCCCCAGAGAGAGTGTACTGAAGGGCGTAGGCTTTATCACCAGGGGCAGCCTGTCAGCCAGGAGTGCAGCTCGGAGGAGAAGGAATTGCCAGAATCCCAGGGAAGACAGGTGGTTAAGGCGCCAGCAGCCGGCATGACACACCTCCACACTTTGCCCAGACCTGTTCAGGAGCAAAATAATGGGGTGCCTCAGTTGATGGTGTCTTTGGTTTGGCAAAATATATCTTCTTTAGCCCCAGGAAAGTGGTGAGCATGTCTGTGTGAGCCGAGTGTCCCTGGGCGCTGCCCGCACTGGCTGCAGCTCCCGTCCTGCAGGTGATGGTGGAGGCCTACCGGCGGGACACCGCCTCCAAAGACCAGCTCATCAGCGAGCTCAAGGCCACGAAGAAGAGGCTGGCCTCGGAGGTGAAGGAGCTGAGGCAGGAGCTGCTGCAGCTTCACGGGGACAAGAAGTCCGTGGAGGCGGAGCAGGCGCGCCTGCAGAAGGAGGTGGCCCGGGTGCAGCAGCAGATGGCGGCTCTCGAGGGGCAGCTGGAGTCAGCACAGAGGGAGCGCGACGAGATGGAGACCCACCTGCAGGTCTGGGGATGCGCCGACGGTGAAGGCGCCACTGTGCGGCTCCTGGTTCCGGCTGCAGCCGCTGTTTCCAGCTCTGGGCCGAGGGAGCTGGCGAGGGGTGTGGCGCGGTGCCAGGACGGGTTCATGTGCACAGGTCCCGGGGTTGAGGGGAGGCCAGCGTGCAGGTGGGAGCGGGTGGAGCTGGCAGTGACAGTGAGGCCGAAGGTGCCTGAGGCAGGGAGAGTGAGGCCTCAGTCCAGAGTCCTGCTGTGTCTGAGGGGCGATCCCTGAGATGAGAAATGGGGGACATGTCAAGTTAAGGCAGTTTGACGGGAAGTTTTTTAAAGTCCAGGAGAGGGCCAGATGGGCAGATTGACTGGAGGCGGCAAGGTAAGAGACTTGGGAACAGACAGTGCTGGAGCCAGGTGGCTGCAGGGTGAGCTGCAGGAGCCGGGGGCTGGGTATGGGCCACCTGCTGCCATGAGAACACATGACCTCACGGGTGTGCTTAGGGCAGCGAGCGGGGCCAGGAGGAGGCCAAGCCCCCTGAACCAGTTCACAGTCACTCCTCCAGGTCCTCGCTTTGACACAGCCGCTTGGGACACTGGGCCTCTCGGAAGCTGCCGTTTGTAAAGGGCACAACTCGTCCGGCCTTCAGGGCCCCTGGCTCGAGGCAGCCCGGAGACAGCCTGTGTGCCGGACGGGCTGAGGCAGCGGGGCTGCGCTCACCACTCTCCTCCCTCCCATGCAGGCTCTGCAGATCGACAGGCAGCAGGTGGCTGCACTGACCGAGGCCAACAAGGGGCTCCAGGCTCAAGTGGAGGAGCTGCGGCAGGAAGCCGCCAGGTGAGTACTGGCCTCCCCTCTCTCTGTCTTTTCACTGAGGTTTGTGTTCTGCACTGAGCTTGTGTCAGCCGCGACGCAGTGTGAGCCCGTGGCCGGACTTATTGCTCTGCCCTGTGGGTTAGGAGCATGTGAACAGCTCTAGGAAGAGGTGGACGATAGCGCAGGAATACGTGCAGGTGGAAGCATAGAAAGCAGGGTGGCTCGGGTTCGAGCTGGTGTGCTCGAGCACAGGCCCAGGGTCCCGGTTCAGGTGGGGCAGGTGGCTGCTGGCAGGGTTTGAGCGCAGTGCTGCAGGCTGCCAGCACCAGCCTCGTCTGCCCACTTTATAACAGTTGGGAGGGTTCTTGAATCCAAGGTGCGGGAATGGGGGAGGTGGGGCTGGAGGCAGTAAGGGAGACTTGAGATGACCTGCCCCTCCGGCACACCCCAGGGCCATCACCGAGCAGAAGCAGAGGGTGACGCGGCTAGGCTCGGACCTGAGCAGTGCTCAGAAGGAGATGAAAAGCAAGCACAAGGCCTACGAGAGCGCCGTGAGCATTCTGAGCCGCCGCCTGCAGGAGGCCCTCACCGCCAAGGAGGCAGCGGAGGCTGAACTGAGCCAGCTGCGAGCCCAGGCGGCCGACGGAGCCAGCAGCCTCACAATGCACGTGCGTACCACGTTTGCTCGGCCCAGCGCGGCTCTCAGGATGGGGACAAGGGGGCGACGCAGGAGGGAGGTTAGCCCCTGCCACGGCCACATGGAAGCCCGTGGCCCGGCTCACCTTTCTGTCCTGCTGTTAGGAGAGAATCCAGGCCCTGGAGTCGGAGTTGCAGACCGTGGGCCACAGCAAGGTGATGCTGGAGAAGGAGCTGCAGGAGATAATCGCGCTGACGAGCCAGGAGCTGGAGGAGTACCGGGAGAAGGTGCTGGAGCTGGAGGATGAGGTGAGCGAGCTCCTGGCCACATGGCGGAGTGGACAGGCCACGCCACTCCCAGTGCAGCTCCCGGCAGGGAAACGGCTTGGAGCCTCAGAGCCAGCCGGTGTGCCTAACCTGCCAGCTCTGCCTCTGCGCCCTGTTCACTCAGTGCTTCTCTGGATCTGAGACCATCCAGTTGCTGGACTCCCCCTCACTTGTAACACCTCCTCCGGAGAGGACTCCCCTCACCTGTAATACCTCCTCCGGAGAGGACTCCCCTCACCTATAACACCTCCTCCGGCGAGGACAAGTGACCACTGCCTCCGTGTGGTGGGCATCGGAGGGCTTGTGGCAGCTGTGCTGCTGGCGAATTCACTCTATTATTTTGTTGTTCGTTAATCCTCAACTGAGGGTATTTTTCCATTGCTTTTCAGAGAGCGGAAGGGAGGGAGGGGGACACTGGGCTCACCGGTGGGCACTCGTACACTCCTGTTGCAAATCCCCAGGAGCCCGGCTCAGACGGGCTGGGCTTTTAGAGATCCACACGACGTCAGGCCCCCGACCGCTGCCCACCCGGTGTGGTGCGCGTGTCCGTCGCCGCGTCTCATGCCGCTGTTCCCGCCTCTGGTGACTGTAGCTTCCCTGGGGTTTGTTTAGCTTCAGGAATCCAGAGGCTTCCGGAGGAAGATAAAGCGCCTCGAGGAGTCCAATAAGAAGTTGGCTCTGGAGCTGGAGCACGAGCGAGGGAAGCTCACGGGCCTGGGACAGTCCAACGCGGCTCTGCGGGAGCACAACAGCGTGCTGGAGACGGCGCTGGCCAAGAGGGAGGCCGACCTGGTGCAGCTGAACCTTCAGGTACTGACAGCACGGGGAGGCACGCAGCCTTGGGGCTTCCCTGCTGCCTGTGCGGTTGTCACAGCTCCTGCAGGGAACATGCCGAATCTGCCCATACCTGAGCCTGGAGAGCTGGGGTGGGCGGCTCCTGCTGGGCCAGATGGTCCTTCCCCAGCCAGGGCAGGTGCCCCGAGGGAAGGCACTCGCCCTGGCCACCAGCGGCCTTGGATCTTTCGACCATCAGAGAGTTTATAGACGTCTTCTTTCATTTTATTTGCTCTTTGTTAATCCTCACTAGTGGATATTTTGTCTATTGATTTTTATAACATAAGGGAAGAACAAGGGTTGGGGGGTGGGGAAGAGAGACAGAGAGAGAAACATCGATGTGAAAAAGACACATCAATCGGTGGCTTCCTGCATGTGTCCCGACCTGTCCGGGTACTGAACCTGCAACCCAGGTACATGCCCTTGACTGGGAATCAAACCCGTGACCCTTTGATGCATGGGCCGGCACTCTAACCACTGAGCCACAGCAGCCAGGGCTCTTGCTGCCCACCACGTGCGTCCCCCCTCACCAGGGAGGTGTTGGCTTACAGCCCTCATTCACGTGCCTCTTGTGGCTTGAGAAAGGTCATGTGGTCGTGCTTCTGCCACCTCAGGTGTGTGTGTGTGATTGTCTCCAGAAATGGAATCTCCATGCTTCCTGTTTCCCACGCTTGGTGGTAACACGATGTGAGGCCTGTGCCACTCACTGCTGCGCCCCGTGCAGCGCCAATCACCGTCCCCCTGCTCCGTCCGGGGCTCTGACTCCCCTCTCTGCTGCAGGTTCAGGCCATCATGCAGCGCAAGCAGGAGGAAGACCGCCAGATGAGGCAGCTCGTGCAGGCCTTGCAAGCCGCGCTGGAGAGAGAGAAGCAGGAAGTGCAGAGCCTCAGGGAGCAGGTGTGTGGCCGCGTCCGACCGGATCCACCACACTGCCACGTGCAGCTCCGCAGGGCACGTTTTCAGTGTCTGGAACGGTGTAGGCTCTGCCTCCAGGAACTTCCGTACAAGTTCAAGCGCAGGGGTGTCACAGGGACATGGCGACGAGGGGCTGGGCAGCCTTGGTGCCCACTAGGACGAGTGAGGGCGAAGGTTACCGCCCCTGCCTTTGCCCTGCTGAAGCCGGTGTCCTCCTCCCAGGTGGCCGCAGCCAAAGTGGAAGCGAGGCACAACCAGCGCCACTTCAAGGCCGCCACCTTGGAGCTGAGCGAGGTGAGAAAGGAGCTGCAGGCCAAGGAGCTCCTGGTGCAGACGCTGCAGGCGGCGGCCGAACGTCTCCAGTGAGTGTCCCCGGCCGAGGAGAGGCCGCTGGCAAAGGGTCCCCCCCAGGGCTCCCCCAGGTCTGGCTAGCACTCAGATCACCCTGAGCAGGTCTGGGAGGAGAAACGTCCGACCCCGTCAGAAGCTTGCGCTTCACCCACGTGTCTCAGTCCTGACGCTGCCGTCCCCTCTGCCCCTTCGGTCCCGCATTGAGAACAGAGTCCCCAGGGTGAGGGCTGCGCCCACCCCGGGCTCACTGTCGGCTCCGAGGGGCAGCTCTGCCGCACGTGTGCAGGGATGCACAGTGGTCCCTGTGACACCCCCACCATGGCCCTGGGGGTTTGTGAGGCTCAGGACCGTCCTGCCAGAGGCGCAGCGGGTGAGCACCAGGTGGGCTGGCGCCATGGGGCTGGCGGTGTCCGGGGCACGCTCAGTGCCGGCCTTGTTCCCTCCCAGGCTGCAGGAGGGGGCACACGCCCAGGAAGTCACCCAGTTCCAGGCAGAGCTTTCGGAGGCACGGACCCAGCTGCAGCTCCTGCAGCAGCAGTTGGACGAGCAGCTGAGCAAACAGCCCGTGGGCAACCAGGAGGTGATGTTGGGGACGGCTTTGCATCCCGCTCACAGGACTGAGGGCTGGGCTCTGTGCTCGTCCCCCTACTCAAGGACAGGGATTTGGTCTCAGTGTGACAACATACGAGGCACAGAGAGAGGCCACTGTGAATTTATTTTGCTCCTGTGACTTCCCTCCCACAGATGGAAAACCTCAAGTGGGAGGTGGATCAGAAGGAGAGAGAAATACAGTCCCTGAGGCAGCAACTGGACCTGAGTGAGCAGCAGAGCAGGCGGGAGCTGGACGGGGCCGAGCGTGCCCTGCAGGTACTGGGCGCACGACAGGCGTGTTTCCCTTAGACGGCCGTGACTTGCGCCGTTACTGTGCTCGTCACATCTGGGGTAACCGGGAACCATGGAGCCATGCTCCCCCATCTCACAGGGACATCTTGGTCACCCAGCTGACGGAGGCTGAGGACACCAGAGCCCGGTGCCCCACTGGGCTGATCTGAAATGTAGCCCAGTCACAGCTACACGTGATTGTCACAGCACACAGGAGAGCCACCCGTCAGGACGCACGGCTACCCGTGGCGTCTGGGGCAGGCCTGACTGCCGAGGGGGGTGAGAGTAACTATGAGCATCACAGTCTCAGCTGCTGGCAGGAGCTGGAGCCCGTGCTTTCCTGTCCCCCTAAACTTGCGGCTAAGGGTCCCCACCAGGGCTTCCCCCAGGTCTGACTAGCACACAGAGCTCTCTGCTGTGCACTGAGATCCTGTAGCTTTGAAAACCCTGACCTGGCTTCCCTTAGAACATCAAGTCTGAGCTGGAGGTGATGCGGGAAGACCTGTCCATGACCCAGAAGGACAAGTTCATGCTTCAGGCGAAAGTGTCGGAACTGAAGAACAACATGAAAACTCTGCTCCAGCAGAACCAGCAGCTCAAGCTGGACCTGCGGCGCGGTGCGGCCAAGGCGGTGAGCGCTGTGCTATCAGAGGAACGGGCCTGCGGGGGGCGGGCAGGTTCTCTGACACAGTTACCGTGTGTGCGACCACATTCAGCAGCTACTGTGTGGCAGTGAGTGGCGGGGAACTCTGCTTGGACGAAGGCCACGTCATTTTATTTTATTTTCTACTCAATGGTTTGCTTCTTTTCATGAGTTCGGGTGCCATTTTGTTGACTGGGCTTTGTAAACCCCAGCGAGGCCCTGGTATGCTGTGTTAGCAAGATCCCTGGCCCTCAGCCGGTCCGGCTGGAACACAGCTTGGGCCTGGGGATCCCGGAACCCCAAGGCTGCCGTCACCGGCCCCCTCTGGTTGTCTGCTGACAGTATGTGTCTCCTCAGTGTGTCTACATGTTTTCCTAGTCAGGCAAGTAGCTTAGATTCAGAGCTTAATTATCAGCGTTTGTCTCTCTGTGCAAAGGTTTGATGTCTTATGAAGGGAAGTTGTCTGAGTTGGGAAATGGACTTAATTTTTTACGGATTCTCAGAGTCAGGCTGTGGTGCCTCCCGAGAGGCCCACGTGGGAGCTGGCATTTAAGGCCTCTGGGTTGGCTCTGTGCCGGGATGGGGTTGGCTCTCCGGTGTGCAGTAGCGAGGCTGTCTCCTAGGCCAGCACTTCCCGAATCCCTGTGGCTGCTTGCTCCGCGGCACAGAGAAGCGGATGTGCCTTCTCGGGGTCGTGTGGGGCTGGGAGGCGGGTCTGGAAGCGCCTGTGGTGGCAGAGAGCTCACCGTGCACTTTTACGAGCAGAGGAAGGAACGGAGAGGCGAGGCCAGCCCTTCCAGCCCCGTCACGCCGGTGAAGGTCCCCGACTGCCCCGTGCCGGCCGCGCTGCTGGAGGAGCTGCTGAGGCCGCCGCCCGCCGTGAGCAAGGAGCCCCTGAGGAACCTCAACAGCTGTCTCCAGCAACTCAAGTATGGCGGCTCGTCTCATGTCGCTTAGTCTCTGAGTCAGCGTTAACTTGGCAGGGTCTCTGTCGCTACACTGAATGCCCACCCGTGGCCGAGCAGGTCTGTGCTCTCACATTGTGAGGTGAGAGTCGCCTGCAGCCAAACAGCTCTGAGAAACCCTAAGTCACCGGGATCTGAGCCTTTAGACCCCTGTCCGCATGAGGCCGCTGTTTGGAAGGCGTGGCCTCGTGGGGCATCCTTTCTGACCGTGTGAGGGAGCTACGTGAGCCCCTCGTCTCTGTCTTCCTCACGGTCCCTGAGCAGAAGCCGTGTGTGCAGAGCCTTGTGGCTTCCTGGCCTCCGTGTGGCTCTGAGAACACCGTCTCTGTGACCCGCCTGGGTAGCTGTGCAAATGGGGGGTTCTTTTGAACCCTGAAGGCGCCACTGATGTGTGAGAGAACGGCCGCCCAGTTGAAGCTTGTCAGGCTCATGTCCATCTCAGGGAAGCGATGGCAGCTGACCAGCCTTCTGACCTTTGCCCCTTGTGTCCCCAGGCAGGAGATGGACAGCCTCCAGCGCCAGATGGAAGCTCACGCCGTCACTGTGCACGAGTCACTGTCCTCATGGACTCAGGGGGACCCTGCCGCCAGCCCTGGAGGAGACACCGAGCCGCCACTGGGAACAGCCTCTGCGGAGCACCCCCATGCCGAGTGTGTGTGATTGTCCCTCCGAGGTCACGTCTCTTCCTAGCAATGGCACTGAAGTTCCGTATTTGCTTTATGAGGAGTAAGAACAGGGGAGCCACCTGCCGATCACGACCAGCTTCCCCCAAGTGACCGACCGTCACCCTAGCTGAGCTCTCAGTGACAGTGTTAGAGGGGCCGCACCTCGCCAGGGACGGAGACGCTGCTCTGTGGCCACGGGTCTGGGGGAACCTGGTCGTGGGCCCACTCCCTCACTTCCTCTCCCGCAGGAGGGAAACTTTATTTGCACCTTTGGTTTTTATTGTTTTATTTTCACAGCCATCCCGCCATAGGATATGTATGTAAATACTGAGAACCGTAACCTAATCTTTAAAAAGTATGTCCCCGTATTATTTAAAATTGACCTGAATTGTCTGCTTTTCGATTGCCTTTTGAAAATCTGCTGTCAGGAAATATTGTACATGTAGGATTAAGGGATGTCAGTAAGAAAATTATATTTTAAGAAATATAATTATTTTATTTACCTCCTAAAACCAAATACTCTTAGAGCATCCTTCCTTGTTTTTGTTTCACTTTAATTTTGAGTGTCTTTTCCTTGTCTTAGTGCACGATGCCTGACTGTTTAACTGCCCCGCGTGGCCTCACCGCCCCCTTGTCCAGGCCGCACCCTCTGTGCCCACATGGCAGTGTCCAGCAGGACCTGTGGTCATCGGAGCCGTGCGGGGCCCGTGGTGATGGTGTCAGGTCTGGGGTCCTGTTGTGACCGGGCACCAGGAGTGTGTGAGGTTGACCTGTCCGTGTCCCACCTGAAGCTGACGGACTGTGGGACTTGAGGGCTATACGTTTGTCTCCACGGTTGCTAAGAAAGCCTAAAATAATATTTATTGTAATAAGTTAGAGTGAGGTGGGTGCACGTGCACCCTATGTGTGTCTGCTGCTCTGAGGACGGGTGACGTGTCCAGATCCGACATCCCGCCAGCCCGTGTGCCGTGTCTGTGTCCTGTTTGTGGAGAAAACAATATATATTTTTATTGGTTTGAGAGAGAAAGGGAGAAGAAGAGAGAAGCATCAGTAATGAGAGAGAGTCCTGGATCGGCCGCCTCCCCCTATTGGGGACCAAGCAAAATCCAGGCATGTGCCCTGATCTTGCCTGGTTCATAGTTGATGCTCAACCACGGAGTCACACGGGCCCAGAGGAAACTGGTCTTTGTAAGCTGTCTGTGTCCTCTCATACTGTGCTGTCATAGGTTCATTGATAAAGTAGCGTTAACCAGAGAGACTTAGAGTTTTAAAAAGGTTCCCTAGAAAGTAGTGGGACTTCTAAATACATCTCTCATTCGTACAGGGTCAACCTTGAAACAATACTTGAAGACTCATTATAATGTATCCTACTTTTCATAATAAGTTGGAAAGCATTTCTGGCAGAATTGTTTTTGTACCATTGGAAGAGAAACATGATAATTTATGTTCTTAGTTACTTTGGCTGCATTATTCTTGTTTCAACTTTAAAACGAAGTCATGGCACCCAGTCCCGGGCCTCAGTGGCTCTCAGCCTCCCCAGGGAAGACCTGCCGCTGCCACCATGTCCTCCTCTTGGGAAAAGCTAACCTGGATGCACCCGTCAAGGGGAGGCCGTCTCTGTCCTTCCCCCTTCCTCCCTCTTCCCGCCTCCGTGTGCGTGTGCACGCACCTGCTCTCTGGCTTCCTGTCGTCTCCTGTGCCGCCACCGTCCTCGGTGCCCATTCTTCAGCTCAGCCAGCGCTTGGCCGGCTTCGGTCCGGGCTTCAGGGGCGGCTCCTGCTTGCTCACCTCCACCGGACTCACTGCTCCCTCCCATGACAGGAAAGGCTCTTACATTCCGGGCAGAAGTGGAATTGGGAATCACTCCTGAGAAGCGGCAGTCGAGTCCGGAGTCCGTGTAACCAGCTCTGCCACCACCTGTGTCTGTGCCTCTTCGCCCTGCGTGACAGTCGCTGTCCTGTCCTCACACAGAGAGTTGGCTCGGGCACCCTATGTCCTCACTTGCTTTTGTTCTGTTTCAAAAACACGATTGCAATGTCATTATCCTTGATCTCTCCACAACGGACACCCGGCAGATGCCATGGGTCTGATAGGCTTTGCTCTACAGGGCGGGCAGAAATATGGAAAACATTTCATATAGAAAAAATAACAATAATAATAATACAAGAATTAACTGTTTGGTGTCCTCACAACTGTAAACCTGCTTTTGCCCTGCTCTGTTTGGAGGGATCAGAGGCGTTTGGCTCGTGAAACAATAATTTTCTTGTCCCGGGTCCAGCTCGCAGCATCCACAGGGCGGTCAGCCTGTGGCCAGGGTATTAGGAAGTCTCCCCTGAGCCCCTTACAACTTAGGCCTCCGTTGGTCTTGGGTTCCTGCAGGTCACCGTGACAGACATTTCTACTTCATGAGTACGTTTCTTGACAAAAGTTAAATGTGTGTAAAGATTTTTGGAGTGAGGGACCCACCCGCCGTGGGCAGGCCTGTGACGTGTGAGACGCTCAGCCTATTTCACGCTATGACCACGTCCCGGGCACGTCCCATGGTGGTGGGCTCAGGTTATAAGAGAGTCCCTGGGGTGATGTGTGAGAGGGTCTAGAACACTCGGTTGTAAGTTACGTCTATTAAAAATTTCCTCATTAAAGGGAGTCTTCAGGTTGGGACTGTTCAGGGGAAAGACACCCTCATGCACCACAAATTGTAACTTTAAAAAGCATGTTGGTTTTTTTATAAACTTAAGCGTGCTTGGGAATTCCTTAAATTTTGTGCAATAAACTATTTTTTGTTAAAGATTTTCATATTTCATTGGCGGGTGGGGTTCCACATATTGGTAGTAACACCTTACGTTATTACTCGGTTCAAATACTTGTCTCCAAAGAATTTTAATGTTTTGCCAAAGTTTTATTTATTTTTTATCTTAAAAAATATACATTTTATTGATTTTTAACAGAGAGGAAGGGAGAGGGATAGAGAGTTAGAAACATCAATGAGAGCCGGGACCAGTTTGGCTCAGTGGATAGAGCGTCGGCCTGCGGACTGAAAGGTCCCGGGTTCGATTCCGGTCAAGGGCATGTACCTTGGTTGCGGGCACATCCCCAGTAGGGGGTGTGCAAGAGGCAGCTGATCGGTGATTCTCTCTCATCAATGTTTCTAACTCTCTATCCCTCTCTCTTCCTCTCTGTGAAAAATCAATAAAATATATTTAAAAAAAAAAAAAAAAAAAAAAAAAAAAAGAACATCAATGAGAGAGAAACATCCCACTGGGGATGTGTCCGCAACCAAGGTACATGCCCTTGACCCGTCGAAGCTGGGACCCTCGGATCCACAGGCCAGCACTCTATCCAGTAAGCCAAACCGGTTAGGGCTGTTTTGCCAAAGTTTGAGACAGGCTGTGAAAGCCAGCTTTGAGAGGTGGCTCGAGTTGCCCATGTTGTTGCCTCTCTGTCCACATCATCTGCTGCCACATGCACGTTAGTCTCAGGAGGGGAGTGGACAGGGACAGGGGCAGGGGAGGGGCAGCAAAGGGTGTTGGCTGTTTGAGCTGCAGAGGGTCCACACATGCACCCTGTTCTGAGATGCTGGCCAGCCCTGTGCCCAGCTGACCTCCTGATAGGTCCATAACTCTGACTCAGCTTTTTTTTTTTTTTTTTTTTTTTTAATATATTTTATTGATTTTTTACAGAGAGGAAGAGAGAGGGATAGAAAGTTAGAAACATCGATGAGAGAGAAACATCAATCAGCTGCCTCTTGCACACCCCCTACTGGGGATGTGCCCGCAACCAAGGTACATGCCCTTGACAGGAATAGAACCCGGGACCTTTCAGTCCACAGGCCGATGCTCTACCCACTGAGCCAGACCAGCTAAGCCATGCCATATTGTTTCTAATACCAGCGATTGCAGCCGATTCATCTACCATTCTACCATCTTTGGAACATTTTATAAAAACCTCTTCTTTAGCGTGGCTGGTACGACCATAGTCAGTGGATTATTACACCAGACAACGGGGCATCTTGACCTGGATCCCTCCATTTCTGATGATGTGTTTCGCATTCCTCAGCGTACACGTGTTGGCAATGAGCTCCCAGAGCTTGGCTCAGTGTTTGATGTTGTCTCCATGTTCAGGGTCTGGAGAAAATATTCAGGATAGATGTGAACATACCTAATGGAATCAGAAAGCTGGGTTGGGAGAAAAATGATCAGGCCCTAAAAGAGGAAGCGCATGGACTCGGGCCTAAAAGAGGGTCGTCCTCCTAAGAGCCGGTTCTTCTTAACGGGAAATGCTCTCGCTAAAACGGGAGCAGTCGGACGTCTCTGTCTCCAGCTCGCAGAAGCAGTTCTACAGCCGGAGTCCGAGAAACTGCGCAGTCCGGAGGCGTGCCAGCAGGGTCGTCGCCCGGGAAACCGGAGCCACCCGGGACACGCCCCTCCGGAGCCGCCGGGGCCACGCCCCCGCAGGGCCACGCCCCCGCCCCGGGACACCGCTGCAGGCCCGCGCCCGCTTCAGTACCCCGCGCCTCGGGCTGCCCGCGCTACTGCCTGACGCCACGCTCGGCCTCCTCGCCCAGGCAGAGGTCGGGACCGCGGCCACGCTCCCTTGCTGAGTTATAGGACGTAGGTTCAAGTGCCGTGGCCCGCGCGTGTAGTCTCGGCACCGCGCGCCGACAGAAACCCGCGAGTCGCTCCGTAAGGCATCGCCCCGGACAGCCCGAGACGCGGGGTCCTTAGGGGCGCGCGTCTTCTCCGCGGCGACGGCGGCAGCGGCGGCGGCCGGAGGGCGGTGGCGATGCTGTGGCCCCGGCTGGTGGCCGCCGAGTGGGCTGCGCTGGCCTGGGAGCTGCTGGGCGCCTCGGTGCTGCTGCTCGCGGTGCGCTGGCTGGTGCGGCGGCTGGAGAAGCGGCCGCGGGGCCAGGGCCGGAGCTCGCTCCCCGCCCCGCCGTCCCGCGCGGCCGCGGACCCTGACTCGGACTCAGGTAAGGCCCGTCCGCGCCCCTCCGCTCCCCTCGGGCCTGGGCCCACCCGCGCCTGAGGCCGCTGTTCCGGTGCGGGGCCGGGAGTCCCACTCCGGGGCCCTTAACGTGCAGACGACGGCGCGGCGCTGAGGCCGGTCTGTCTTATCCGTCCGTCCGTCCGTCCGTCCGTCGGAGCCTGGTGACTGCGGAGCGGCCCCCTGGCGTCTGGCTGTCAGCGCGTCGGCAGGGTTCCCGCGTCAGCCGCCCCCCCCGGCTCGCACGTTGGGTTTCTCCGGTGGGAAGGCCAGGTTTGTCGGGGGTTTGTGTGTGTGTTTTGAATGGAAAGCGGAAGGGCCGGCCTGCCCTCCGCCCTGTCGCGTTTGCCGGTGTTCCGCCTGCTTCTTTTCTGGAACAAGGCCGTAGGCGACACGCTGATCCGTCCGCTGACCCGGCCAACCCTGCCCGGAAACCCGGTGCAGCACAGACCCCGGACTGCAAACCTGCCAGAGACGGGGCTAGAATGACGGTGTCTTTACGTTTTTAGCTTTCCATTTTTTAAAGTGTTTTTTAAAAACATGTTTTTATTGATTTTGGAGAGGAAGGGGGAGGGGGAGAGAGGTAGAAACATCAATGATGAGAGTCATTGATCGGCTGCCTCCTGCACGGCCCCTTCTGGGGATCGGGTCTGCAACCCAGGCATGGAATCGAACCCGGGACCCTTCCGAAGACTGGCGCTCTGTCCACTGAGCCAAACAGGCTAGGGTTAGCTTCCCATGGTGGAATCGGTGTACAGAGCATCCGAAAGGGTGCCCTCCCCGTTGGGACCCTGTGCTCCCCCGGCCTCCCCCTTCAAGTTCTTTGGCAGCTTTAGGGGGTGGGGGTGAGGCGGGGGGCTGTGCAATAAAGTGTCTGTTTATCAGACGAATTCTCCTCTGCAAATAAGTAACAGCTGTTTTTGAAATCTTGGAGTTGGGCTGTGGGAGGCAGCACCCTAAAAGGCTTTTTGAAAAGAAGTGCACAAAAGTAGGTAGGAGAATAGGAGGAACCCCTTTTGCCCAGTGTCCTACGACAGCCAGTATTAATGTTGTCTGAATCTTGCTAACGACTCCCAGTCTCTTTTTTCCCCCTCTGAACTTACTGTCTCCTAAATTTCAGACTTGAAAACTGAAGTGCCCACGTGGTGTGCTCTAGGTGTTTCTGATGCTCAATCTCCATTGGCTCTATGTCCAATATTCTCTGCCTTGGGTGGACTCACTTCCTGGGCACTTGGACCAGGCCGCCTACAGTCGCTCAGGGCCCTCACATGGCATCTCATCCGGCCATCCCTACGACCTCCTGGTCTAGCCTGAGCCCTTGGCTCCAGCCCCATTAGTCACAGTGGTCAGGTCCCTGTCATTTTTACCTCCTCCCTGATTCTAGCTGTGCTCCATAGACTTATCTGCTCGTGCTTCACATACATGGTTAAAGCTCCCACTCCAGTCTGTTTGTCTGGTAGCTGTGCAACCTGGACAAGTCACTTAGCTCCTCTGTGTTTTGGGTTTTTCATCTGTAAAAGGGGGGGGTGGGGGGGGGGGTGATCAGTGATGATACCTACCAGACGGAGTTACTGTTGCCGTTAAATAATTTTGAGTATGTAGAGTGCTCAAAACAGCACCAAGCACAGGGGAAGGCTCACACAAAAATTTAAGTTTGAGCTACTTGTTAGCATCAGCAGAATGTCTGCCAGAGCTTCTATCTGTGTCCTTAGTTCTCTGTTGTAAGTCTTTGCATAACTTGTCACTTACAGAATAAAGTGCAAGTCTGTCTGTGGGATAAATTTCTGGAGTTGGAGCTTGGATAGTCTGTCCAGTTGCCATCCTTGTTATTGGTTCCAAATTACACTCCAACCAGCAGCAAAGGGGTGTGCCAGTTTCCCCAGTGATTACCGACCTGGAATGTTAGTGTGATCCTGCCTTGTGATTGTGCTAGGTGATAAGATTCTTATCCAAATGTCCCAGATACTGGGTATCTTAGTTTTGTTTATGTTGTGATAGATTTGGAAACCAATGCCTTAATGAAAATTTTCATAGGGAGTTCATAGACTCCAGAGAGTGTGGACAAACACTGCATTGAAATGAAAATTTGAAGCTTTTTTTGCCATTATTATTTTTTTATTGATTTGAGATACAGAAGAAATGATTGATTTGTTGTTCCACTTATGCATTCAATGATTGATTCTTTAAAAAAAATTTTTTTTTGTTGATTTCAGAGAGGAAGGAAGAGAGAAAGAGAGATAGAAGCATCAGTGACGAGGAGAATCATAGATTGGCTGCCTGCTGCATGCCCCCCATTGGAGATTGAGCTTACAACCCAGGCATATGCCATCAACTGGAATCAAACCCAGGACCCTTTAGTCCACTGAGTCAGACTGGTTAGGGCCAATGGTTGATTCTTGTATGTGCCCTGACCAGGGATGGAGCCCAAAACCTTGTCATATCTGGACGATGCTCTAACTGAGCTACCTGACCAGGGCACCACTTCTTAAAGAAAAGATTTACTTAAACATTGGAATTGATTTGTGTTGTTTTGGGCCTAGGCACAATGACAATGGATGCCATCTTAGCTCGACTAAAACTCCTAAATCCAGATGACCTCAGAGAAGAAATTGTCAAAGCCGGATTGAAATGTGGACCCATTACTGCAACCACAAGGTTCATTTTTGAGAAAAAATTGGCTCAGGCTTTATTAGAGCACAGAAGACCCCTTCCATCACACCAGGCTACCATAGGAAGCCCCGCAGAGCAGGTCAGCTTTTCTGAAGACAGAGATTTTGGTTACAGAGTGGGCTTGAACCCTCCGGAGGAAGAGACCCTGAAGTCTGAGACCTGCTCCGTGGCCTTCAGTGCTGTGCCTGGCGTTGACGGCCCCAAAACTGTGGAGAGGGCGTCTGCTGAGCCGCCTCTGTACTATGGGGTGTTCCCGGCCTACGAGGATTCCCCAGCTCGAAATGGTAAAGTGACAGCATGATGTTTTTTACCTAGGGAGGGGGTGCCTGGACAGCAAGGGTAAGTGATCTTAAAAATCCCAACAGCAGAGGAGAGAGAGTAATCTAGTCACCATAATCGTTATTCCAAATTAACCACTGTTGGCATTTTTATGTAGGGCTCTTCTTAAAACATTTTTTTGATCCATATATGAATTTTTAAAAATCAAGAAAAATATTTATTAACTGGCTACTATTTGTTAATCATCTTCCTCATTTTATTTTTAAAAAAATAAATTGATTTCAGAGAGGAAGAGAAAGGAAGAAAGGGAGAGAGAAATATCAATGATGAGAGAGAGTCATTGATTGGCTGCCTCCTGCACACACCCCCACTGGAAACCGAGCCCACATCTAGGCATATGCCCCTGACTGGAATTGAACCCAGGACCCTTGATCCACTGAGCAAAAGCAGCCAGGGCCTTTTTAAAATTTTTTTTTAACATAACCTGAACATCTATTATGTTAACGAATGCAAATGGACAATAAATAATTTTCAACATAAAAAAAATGCTGTTTGAAACAAAGTAGTACTGGAAAGAATTAATGGAAACTTGTTGATTAGGATATAATGTATAATATATACAGTACTTAAAGAAAATGTGAAATTTCTTTTTCTTCAGGATTAAGAGTAGGAAACATTATATAAGAGAAAAGTCAGGCAGCTGGGTAACAACTGTTTACTGTTAAACTCAGGGCCTTCGGAGTGACTTCGTGACAGTGGCTCTAGTTACTCTCTGTTTTCCGTTTGTTATTTTCCTAGAAAGAATTCATGTTTATGAAGATAAAAAGGAAGCATTGCAAGCTGTCAAGATGATCAAAGGATCCCGATTTAAAGCTTTTTCAAGCAGAGAAGATGCTGAGAAATTTGCTAGAGGAATTTATTGTTATTTTCCTTCTCCAAGCAAAACTTCTTCACAACTTTCTCCTGTGAAAATAGCATCTCTCTCTAGCAATGGTGGGGTAAAAGGTAAATTATATAGCAGTTCACAGCTTGGCATTACTGTCAGATTTGCCCACAAGTATTTTGTGCTCTCCTTATATACAGGAGTTGGTTTTCTCTACCTTTGAGAGAAGTCCAGTTTGCCAGGAAGTGAAGGCCTAGGCCATGGAGCGGCTGGAAGAGAATGGGCTGGGCTGGGGGACCGGGGACCATGAGGGTGGAGTTGAGGGGGAGCTGAGTGGGTCAGGCCGATACTCTAGGCCCCAATGCTGACGGGCTGTGGGAGGAGCAGTGAAAGGACCACCATCAACCTTTTGTCCGGTTCCCTCTGTCTTCCTATCTCCCTTTTCCGATTAGACTCAGGGGCCCTTTTTTTATGCCAAGACCAATCTATTGCACACATGAAGCTACACCTGCTTCTAGGACTGTGGCCCCAGCTTTGACCCAGACAATCCATTCAGTCAGCAAGGTGACCACACCCCTCTTGGCTCAGAACCCAGTCTAGTGAAGGGGCCTTTGTTGTCGGCATTGTGCAAAGCCCTGGCCTCAGTCTTGTTCCTTCTTGGGGCTCACAGTTGTCCTGCTTCCAAGGCTGGCTGGGTCCAGAGGAAGGCCCTCTCCCTGCAGACACAGGCCGTCCGTCCAGAGTCCCGTCTGCTGCGTTTCCTCTGGTCCCTTGCTGGGCCTTACACAGATGCTTCTTACAGGGAAGCCAGAATGGTTTCAGACAAGCTTCCCACTGCCCAGTGTGTGAATTTCCCTCGAGAAGATTGCTCTCACACTTCTCCAGGTGTTGTCATTGAACCGATAGACATCACTGTGGCTCACTGCCTTCATGGTCGTGCTCCGTGTGCTTTACGATCGGAGCAGTGCCATGGCCAGGTGTTCCTGTGTCCTGCAGCTGCTGATCTCAGCCCTCTCACAGAGCTTCCCAGCCGGAGTCCAGGGGGCTTGGCTCTTCACTTACATGCAGCTGCCTGTGTTTGTGCCACTGCTGGAGGCTCCACGTTGGCTGTCTGCTGAGGACTGTCATTGTCCCACCTGTCACCAACTAGACCACAGACTCAGCACCCTCAGTGCAGCACAGGGGGGGCTGAGGAAATGTTTGTGAAAGTAAATGTTCTTTAAAAAAAAACAAAAAAACAAAACAAAAAAAAAACATGTTTATCGGGGGGGGGACTATCTATTACTAGAGGCCCAGTGCACGAATTTGTACACGGGTGGGATCCCTTCGCCTGGCCGAAGATCAGGGCCAATTGGGACTGGCCGGCTGTGGGGAGGGACTGCAGGAAGTTAGCCAGCACACTGACCACCAGGGGCAACTCCTGCATTGAGTGTTTTCCCCCTGGTGGTCAGTATGCATCATAGTGGCCAGTCAACCGGTCATTCTGTTGTTTGGTCACTTGGTTACTTAGGCTTTTATATATAGATAGGTTTTTTGAGTTTCATTTAGCTGTTCTATCATTCCTTGTTGCTGTTATTGTTTATGTTCTGTTTAATCACTTTAACCTTTATGTTTATTAATTTCTTCTGTCTCTTTTTCTTTAGATTATTTTTAGTTCCTTTTCAAATCTGCAGTAGTTGTATCTGTAATTTATTCAAATTAAATGTTCTTAAATTGTCTCTTAGCAACAGATGGCTTGTGCTTTTCTGAGTCAGAAACCGTAAACAGAGAGCGAGCAAACAGCTATAAAAATCCCCGTACGCAAGACCTCACTTCTAAATTGCGAAAAGCTGTGGAGCAGGGAGACGAAGACACCTTTTCTGACCTTATCTGGAGTAATCCTCGGTATCTGATTGGTTCGGGGGACAATCCAACCATCGTGCAGGTAAGCCTGCATCCAGCATCCTTAGCTGCAAGACTCTGGTGGCAAACATGAGGCTCAAAATCTGGTTTTCTTCAGGAGGGATGTAGGTACAATGTCATGCACGTTGCTGCCAGAGAGAACCAGGCTTCCATCTGCCAGCTGACTCTGGAGACGCTAGAGAACCCCGAGTTTATGCGGCTCATGTACCCTGATGACGCCCCAGACATGCTGCAGAACCGCATTTGTTACATCCTCGATCTGTACCTGAACACGCCTGACAAGGGGGTGAGTGTGGCGCCTTTTCTTCCTTCCGTGACGTGACAGCCAGTCTCAGTTACACCAAGACTCGGGTTCCTAGCTTTGAGTATTTGCCTAGTCCGTGCACTTTGTCAGTGCTCGTGGAGGGCCAGGAAGGAGACTTGCATTCACTGAGCTTAGGGAGCTCCTGACAGTTGGAAAACAGCCACTCACACACACACGTCCACCTCACCAAGCGGAGAGCTGTGACCGGCAGGCCCCTGGACTGCAGGCAGCGTGGAGGTGCAGCTGTAGGGACCAAGTCAGGGCATTGAGAAGCATCTGCGAAGCATCGTGGTCTCAGGTGGAGCATTGTTTGTGGCTTTAACTTTCTAATATTTTCTCTCTTTTAAGTAAACTGTTCTTTCTCTGCATCTCTCAGGGCTACGACACACCGTTGCATTTTGCTTGTAAGTTTGGGAATGCGGATGTGGTCAACGTGCTTTCTTCACACCCTTTAATTGTAAAATGCCCACGGAATAAGTGTGATAAAACCCCTGAGAACGTAAGTACCTGTGAATGCTGTCACTGTGTAGTGTTAGCAGCCTTACAGTCTGTGATCACAGCCACTGGGAAGTCAGGAGTCACTCTGAGTGTTAGAGCCTGTCTGCTGAGGAAGAGGCATCTACAGAGCCAGGAGGGAATGAGCAGCCCCAGTGTGCTGGTTTTACTTTATTCTCAACAGCTACCAGTCTGTATCAAGTGTCCCTTGTACATTCCTCAGTTGACCAGGGTCAGAGAACAGAAGAGGTGGTAGTGATGGTTGTAATGATGGTAGTGAGGGTGAGGGTGATAGTGATGATGATGGTGAGGGTGATGGTAGTGGTGGTGAGGGTGACGGTAGTGGTGGTGATGGTGATGATGACATGTTCAGCTTGCGGCACTAGGGGCTGTCCGAAGCCCCGCCCACACGTTCCTGCCTGACCCTTACAAGCCTTACAAAGCAGGCCTTGTCATGATCTATACTCTGGCAGTTGAGCACAGTGTGCCTTAGAAAGGCCAGAGGTGTCTGTGCCTGTGGAGTGGAGAAAGAAGGGACCTGACCATGGATTAGAGCTGTTAGCTGGCCTGGACCTGCGCCCTTTAGAAACACATGGTACCTAGGTGTTCTGTGTCAGCCCTGCCAAGCCGCAGGCTCAGGCCGCGGGACTCGGAGCACGGGAGGCTGTGAGCCTGGCTGAGCGCTCTGCTCTGACTCGATGGCACACGCTAAGACTTCCTTTCCGTGCAGAAACTTAGCATGTAGAGCAGCAGGCAGGAGGAAATGAAAGTGACCCGTACTCTGAGTTTTTCTTCCTGTCCTGTCCCTTAAGCTGTTACAGATGTTCTAGAAGTGTGTGCTGCTCAGCACACGGTTTTTGGTGTGGGCTTTGTGCATAAGGTTCTATTCTTTGAGTATAACATACTATTCTTATTTTGTTGTCGTAGGAACTTGAATGATAAGAAAATCTGATAAATTAAGATTTAGAATGAACTTCACATAACTCTGTGTTTTTAAACAGGTTATTTGTGAAAGAAGCAAGAATAAATCTGTGGAACTGAAGGAACGAATTCGAGAATATCTAAAGGGTAAGGAGGGGCATCCGTCGGTGTGGAGTGTAGGGGTAAGGCCCATTGTTGGGCAGGACTAGACAGCATCCGAGCCTGGCTGTGTTTGGGAGTGAAGCCAGGGCTGTGGTGAGCTCCACCTGCAGCTCTCATCACTGTTTCCCGAACGCCCAGCTCGAGTTCCAGATCTGTCTCCATATAATCCCTCCTTTGATGCCTGTTGTTCATGGCCTCACCCCTTGCCCTCTGCAGCCACTCCCGTAGCAGGAGTAGCTGACCTTTCTCAGGTGGAAGCAGGTCGGAGAGGCTGTGCCGAGCTCCCTGGCTGCTCAGTGGTCCATCAGAAGCTCCCTATCATCATTTCCATGCCAGGCCCTGCCCCCTTGGCAAGCCACACGGCTCCTCCCTTGGCTTCCTGGGCAGCCCCACTCCGAGGCCTGGCCGGCCCTGGGCCTCCTCACTCTGGACCCAGAGTTGGATTGCTGCTTGGCTCTTCACGACGTGAGCTGGTGGGTCTGTGGAGGTCCACCTGTGCCTCGGGGCCTCGCTCCCTGGTCCGGAGCTGCTGGGACGTGGCCTCTGTGCCCCCCAGCTGGCAGGCTCTGGCGTGAGGAGGGCTGGCTTCAGAAGCAGCCTTTCTCACGCTCCTCTGTCATTTCCTGTGAGGTTCGGGGACTCGGCAGAAGTGCCTCCGTGTCATCTGAGCCAGAGGTCTTTGACCGCCACTGGCTGCCTGTCTCGCCCCCTCTGGCTTCCATTCTTACCAAGTCCCCGTCGGCCAGTTCCCATTTGACAGATGCTGCTGCTACCTCCTGCTTTTGTAAATGTGGTCTGCTGGCACACGACAGCCAGCCGTCCGTACGCGCTCTCGGAGCTTCCCTGCTGAACCTCCCGACCTCGCCACACTCCCTCGTGACCTCCCTCCACGGTCTTGTGGTTCCACTGCTGTTTAAAGATGTGTCAGTGACACAGAATTGTGACATACAGAAAGGATAGGGAATTGGAAAGGGAGAGGTGAAAATGTACCTTCTTTTTAACATTTCTCTGCTGCCCATGTATGCTGATCTTGTCCACACAGGCCTGCCTCAGTCCTTCTGACCTGAGGTGAGGAGTTGTTTGCACTCCCCTCCCCTTTTTGTTCCCGGCAGAGGGAGAACGTAGGCTCATTAGTGAGACTGGCACAGACTGGCCTCTCGCCAGGTCCTTCAGCTCCAGAGATGGCAGCCTTTCCTTGCGAAGAGCATGGCGTCGCCGTGTGGTGTCTTACGCCCTGAGGTGAGGAGCGTCTGAGCTCCTGGTTCAGCTCTGGTGTCTTCCCAGGTCACTACTACGTGCCTCTCCTGAGGGCAGAGGACACGTCGTCCCCAGTGATCGGGGAGCTGTGGTCTCCAGACCAGACAGCCGAGACCGCGCACGTCAGCCATGGCGGAGGCAGCCCCAGGGACCCCGTTCTGACCCTGAGAGCCTTTGCAGGGCCCATGAGTCCCGCCAAGGTGAGCTGCTGTGGAAGCTTCCAGCAGGAGCTCCTCGCTGCCCCCGTCGCACAGCTTACACGCTTTCTCCTCGTAGGCAAGAGATTTTCGCAGACTTTGGAAAACCCCGCCTCGGGAGAAAGCAGGCTTCTTCCACAGTGTCCGGAAATCAGACCCAGAGCGGGGCATGGAGAGAATGGGAAGGTAGGAAGGCGGCGAAGGCGTGTGTCCGCTCTGTGTGCTTGTGCTGGCGGGCGGGAGCTCGGGACGTCTGCCTTGAGAGCCAGAGTTCCAGGACACCTTTCTTCCTGAGCTCTGGTTCCTGCAAACCTTGTACATGCTGCATCCCTCCCCAAGGGGACGCTGTGTCTGAGGGATGGACGGGTTTGGAGTGAGGTGGCCTACATGCGTGCTTCCTTGGCAGGGCGGGAGAAAATAGAACACAAGACTCAGCGTGGCTAGAAGCTGTAAGTCATAATCAGGGAGCCAAATTATAATGCAATCAAATAAAGCGTCACTGAATTGCTTTTTAGAACCTTTTCGCAAAATCTGTGCCCAGTTTCAGGCGTACAGTTTGTAAATTTTATATGCCTGGCTAAAACCAGAATCCTATCCAACTTTTTATCACTCTTTTATTAAAACTAACCATTTGTCTGTTTTTGCTGTTTTGTCTTTTACCTCTGTGGTGTGTTGGGAAGGTGTGTCTGGTTGCGGTGTTCTTCCTTAACTGCTCTTTGCTGTGTGACAGCTCTGGGAGTTTTTCCTCTGGTTGTACACCTCTCCTGTGCTTTATTCCCACAGGCAGCTGGCTCACGAGCTGGGGTACCCCTGGGTCGAGTACTGGGACTTTCTGGGCTGTTTCGCTGACCTGTCTTCCCAGGAGGGCCTGCAGAAGCTGGAGGAATACCTCGCACAGCAGGAAGTGGGCAGAAAGGCCCAACGAGACCTAGGAGAAAACGAGGCTTCTGCCTTTGGTGAGGGCCTGTGGGCGTCCCTGTGCTCCCAGGACTTGGACCAGGAGCACGTCCCTGCTGATGCGTGAGCGCCTGCTGCTCCTCTGCCCCTCAGGCTCTCGGTGCCGGGGTCCTTGATCAGAGGAAGGCACCTGGCTGCCCGCTCTCCCTGTGGCTGCTTCGACTTTGTCTGCCTTCTCCTTTTCCTGGAGGCTGCTTCAGTTTGCTTCCCCTGCTGGTCCTTCCCTCGAGCAGGGTGGGTGGTCTGTCTTGTGTCTGAGGAGGCTGTGATGAGAGGCGGGTTGGTCATGGGGACTGTGCTGTCCGAGTGCATGTCCTCAGACTCTGTTACCTGCACCTGAGGAGCCACTCTGTCTCCCCACAGGCTGTCGTGGGAAGTGCAGCAATCCCATCTCCGTGAGGGCCTTTCTGGGGGAAGACGGTGACATGAGCTTGGAAGAGATTAAAAACCGGCAGAACACAGCTCGGAACCACAGCCAGCCCTCAGCCAGGGCCTCCAGAGGCTCGGGGGGTGACATCCCCTCGGAGCAGAGGGCGGACCTTATAGAAGACGCGGCGCGGTCCTGTCCCCCCAGCAGCAGGAATGGCTTCTGCAGCCCCGGGGGCGGGGGCAGGACCGCGCGTGGGAAGAGGACAGAGGCCGCCAGTGGGGAGGAAGCCCTCTCGTCGCCTGTCTCCGGCTTGACTGTGGAGTTCCATAAGCTCCAGTTGCAGAATCTAGGAAGTGGGTTTCCCGAGACACCAAGTGAAAGTGTGGAAACGAGAGAGGAGGAGATCCTGACGGCGAGACCAGAAGCGGTGGACAGTGATGCCGAGCCTCCTGCGGCCGACAGACTTGGAAGCAGTCAAGCAAGGACGGAAGGCGAGATATCGGCGGGCATTGCCAACATGTGCCTGGGCCCCCACTGTCCCGGCCACGAGGCCCCACACAGCTGCACCTCTGCGTCCTCCGAGCCCTTGGGGGTCACCGCCAGGAAGGAGTCTGTCCGGAGGCTCTTCCTTCTGGGGTAGGAGTGGGTGAGCATGAGGGTGGCTGTGGGGCGGGGCTGAGTGCAGTGATGTGGAGTGAGGGATGTGCGTGTGACACTGGTTCTCTGAAAGCTTTCTCGGCCATAGCCTGGCGCTCGGGCTGGTGGGAACCTGTCCTTTTAGCTCGTCCTTGTGCCGCTGTCCTTCCTGGGGAAATGGTTGCCCCCAGAATGACGAACATTCTAAGAATGTAGCTTCTTTTAGGAAGAAAGGCCTACTGGGGTCAGTCTCCACCTCCCAGGTGGCCTGACCAGTTGGTGGTTCTCAGCAGTGGAAATAGGACTGTGCTTTCACAGCAGGGGTGGGTCTTGGGGCGCTGGGACACCATGGGGTGTTCCCCACACCCCATGTGCTGGGTCCCTGAGATAAGGCAGGGTGTGAAGTCTGTCCTAGTCACATGTTCTCTTCTCTATGATGCCGTGCAGGGAAGAGCCGTCCAAACTGGATCGTGACGTCTTGGCAGCTCTGGAGGGTGCAGACCTGGACCCTCAGCGGCACCCTGCCGTGCACAGGTGGAGGAGCGCTGTCCTGGGCTACCCACCCTCCGACAGGCAGAGGTACCACAGCCCAGGGGTTGCTGGGACTAGCATCCGGAGCGTTGATTCTGACCCACATACACCTGGTGGTTTGCGAGGACACTGCCACGCTAGCGTGTAGCTCCTCTGGTGCAGCCGTGGCTGGGGCACTGCGGAAGGGAGGTCTATAGTGGGTGCAGGAACATAAGGGTGCTGCTGACAGGGAGGCTGCGGGGGGGGGGGTATGCGGGGTTCCTGGTCATGGCCATGTGGGTTCACATGGACAGTCACATGAGCTGTGAGTCTTCAGGGCCAGTGTTCTGAGCTTCTAAGGGCCTCTGGTTGGGGCCACAGTGGAGCCCCAGCTCAGAAGCAGGAGCCCAGGTCCTGTTGTGGCCTCCACACTCCCCACACCCACCGTGCTCACAGCCGTTTCTTGGTTTCCTCAGTTGGCCGAGCCCCTCGATAAAAGGGAAGTTGACGTCTCAGCTGCCGGATCTTGATTGCCCGACGAGCTGCAGCCCAGGGAGAAGTGGTCCCGCGGTGGGCAGCCCCAGGAAGCCCAGCTCTGCCCCCCTCTCCCCCCGTATGGGCAGCCCGGGGCGCTACAGCCCTGCCAACGGGTGCCACCTGCGCAGGATGGTGCGCCTGGCCCCGCATGCAGCCTTGTAGGCTGGTGTGGGTGCTGGGCTCTCGCGTCATTGAGAAGGGTAACGTGTGCATTGCTAAAATTTACAAAAAGGATGTATTCTCATTCACTTATTAACCCCTATTTTGAGAGTAAGAGAGTTCTAGAAAATGCAGACGTTTCATGTAAACTTTAGGTTTCTGGCATTTTGAGAGAAGTTGATGAAAGCAAACGCGGGTATGTTTTCTGAAAGCTCGGCATGATGCAGCCCACAGTGACATCCTGGTGCGTGTGTGGCAGGAGCTAAGCTGTCTGCATTCCCACAATGGCCGTGCGGGACCAGCCCTCCTCCCCCTCACCGCCATGTTCACTTCAACTGTTCTGACAACTAAGATGATTTTGTTCACCTTCCTTTTCTGGGGAGGGTTTTTCACTTTTGGGCTCCTTGGTTAGATGAAGTTAAAGCCGTTCTCTCTCTTGGACGAAATGTGCAGCCATTGGGAGGCGGATGATAGGCAGGCAGGACTTGCACAGCCAGGTGTTTCCTTCCGCCAGCTCTGAGCTGTGTGTGCTCTGTGCTGCCGGTGCAGTGGGGTGGGATGATCTGTCAGTTCTCGGTTTTGAAATTATCTCATATTTTAGAATTCACTTCAGTCAGAGTTCCTTTATAACATGTACAGAAACTAGAGGTCGACTTTTGACTTTTGGCAGGTTTGAGCCTGGTTTAGTTGCTCGAGTGTGGTTTACTTTAGGAGTCCTCCCTCCCCGTCTGTGTGCAGAGCGTGGGGGTCACCACAGCTCTCGGCCCAGACCAGATTTCCAAGGACAGAAAACTCTACCTGTGCTTTACTGACTTCAGTGCCTTTTGTAAATCGTTTTTTATTTTTTCTGAGCTTGTTTTTTCAGAATGTAGTGTGTGAGATTCTTTTTCATTCATGAAAATTGTTATTTCACACAATAACAAGAGGCAGGTCAGGAATATTAGAATCAAGATTTAGATTTAAAAATTCTAATGGTGGCTACACAAGGTGTTTTCATGTCTAGATATAAGACAGAAAATAACGTTGTATTGTAAAAGCCAATGGCATTTTAAAAGGCATCTGTTCTCAACAGAAATCAGAATGCAGATGTTCAGAGTGCTGACCTGTTTTTCCTAGAATCTTACCTGCTGTGCTGTATATTGCTGTAAATACTCAGATGAAATTAAAATAGGGTTTTTGCTGACTACTGGTCCTGTCGTGTGAGAAGCCTCTGGTCACCTGTCCTGTTTCCTTCGGTCACTGTAACTGAATGCCCAACACCCTCCTCCCGCTCTTTAGCTGTGTCCCCCTTGAGGGGGCTCATTTCTGGTTTCTGGAAGGCTGTCTTGCTCCTCACAGGTTGTACAAAGGGCAGAAATGCCACCAAACAGGTAGGACAGGGAAGAGGGCCTGCCCCCCACCTTCAGGCCTGTAGCCCCCCCGAGCCCAGAGCTCAGTCGTGCTGGGCTCCCTGGCCTCATAGAGGTCAGACATACGTGCTCCTGTCCCGTTTGTGGTTTCAGAAGTTGGCACAGAGCCTGGGTTAGCTGTCAAAACGTTCCAGAAATGGTGCGTGTGGTTGCTGCTTCTAAAATGCCATTTGTCATGTCAAGACTCACGGTCTTGGCTCAGGCCTGTCATGAGGCCTCTGGTGGCAGCTGCCCAGCAAAGCTGTCATTCCTGGGTGTCCCAGCCAATGTGGCTGCCTTTGTCAGGCTGTACAGGCTTCTGGTTTCTTTAAAACATTTCACAATTAGTACTTTGAAAACCAGTAAAATAAAGTTTTATTTTCGTAGTTATTTCCAAAGTTGACAGAGACATGGATCAGACATCCCATTTAGTTGCACTGCAGAAAAAGTTCATAACCACTTCATAGAAATTGTAGTTTTTGTAAATATCTGGATGGACACCTCATTGTCCAAATATTTTAATCCATAAGCACAAAAGTTTAATAGCAAGAGGCAAACAGAATGAGCTGACAGCTATTTTACTGAAACAGGACTCTCCTGGCTGTTCCCCCCTGGCCCTCCCCTGAAACCAGCAGGTGGCACCCCCTCTCACCTGGCCAGAGACTAACAACAGGTGTGTTCACACTCAACAGCAAGCTGTTTCCGTAGTGTAGTGGTTATACGTTCGCCTCACTCACCCAACAGCTTCAGGGACACAGGACTTCGGAGTGAGACAGTGGTTTCCCATGCAAGAACAGACGGAAATCTTTATTGACAAAGTGACCAAAGGCTTTAAGAAATGTGGAGAATGTACAAAGCGGAATAAGTTACGGATGGAAATGCTGGGCTCTCCGAGTCCCTGGTGCCGATGGCTTTGTTGAGTGCCTCAAGGGCTCGTGTGGCCACTGCGGGTGCTGTGGTCTCCACGGTGACACCATGAGGAGGCCTCGCCGAAGGGCCAGAGCGTTCCCCCTTTCCATCCTGGGCGGGAAACGGCGGCGATGTAGACATCACTCCACCTCCGCCTGGTCCGAGAGAAACGGAGTGACCGCAGTGTAGCCTGCGGAGCGGCCAGAGGCCAGTCTCTGTGTTCTTGGAGGCCCCCGTGCCAGATGCCAGAGCCGGGCCCAGTGAGGAGTGGCCCTCAGGAGCGGGAGATCTTGTCCGGAGGCATGAACCCTGTGTCCCCGAGGGCCCTGAGTGCCACACAGCCGTCTGGCCGGACTACCAGGTGGGTGATGCTGCCATTGTTGAGGGAGAGGCGGAGCCAGCCTTCTGGAGGGAACTGCAGCGCCCTGGGGGGAGGGAGAAGGTGCTGCAGGGATCGGATTGTGAGCTCTGGGCCCCACCTCAGACCAGGTGCTGGGCTGAGTGACAGCAGCTGTGGGATTGCAGCACAGGTCACAACCTGCACACGAGTCAAAACCCACTGGTGTCCTCTGGGTACACATGATTTGTTCCCATTGTGACAGACAGGCAGGGACAGCCCAACAGCAATGCCCACAGCCCGTCCCAGGCCAGGACAGCCCACGGCCATGGAGCCTTTCCTGCTCTCCATGAGGCATGGCTGGTGTTTACGAAAAGCTCAGTGTCACTGCGTCACCCACCACACAGCCTCCGTGCCCAAAGCCTGGGGACGAGGAGCATGGCCCGGCTTGTCTACCGGCAGCCACAACTTAAAGGAATAACCCTGCTCCAGTCTCCTGTCCCTTCCCTGTCCTCGGCGTCTGCCCCAAGTCAGCTAGCAGAGCGCCTGTCACCACGGAGACGCTTTGGCTCTTTCTGGCCCTTCAGTTAGCACCCCCGTGCTGTTTCAGCATGAGGGTACCCCGCAGGGCCTTGCTTAGGCCAATCTGTCCAAGGATGTGAACATGCTCTGTCCTGTACACAGCACAGCAGCCCGACAGCTCGCCCTCAGATGCCCAGAGCAGCAAACAGCACGCCCCCGGGAAACAAAGCTGAGGCTGGGCCCCCAGAGCACCGAGTGAAGGGCGTGGAGCCCAGGCGCCCCCCACTCGGTCGGTGTGAACCCGAGGAAATAGGATGTGGGCACGTCACCCTGAGGGGAGACACGACTGCAGGGACAGGTGCACACACACGGAACGGTGCCTTCACCCAGGCCACCTTGCACCTCCGGGACAGGACCTAGGCAACTGCTGCCCAAACACGATCATGAGAAACTCCACACGAAACACATTCTACCAGACCCGCGGCCTCTGGGACTGCAGGCCAGAGGCAGGCCGGCCGAGGCGCCAAGGGCCCCTCACCTGCACACGATGTAGCGGATGACGTTGGCGTGGCATATGAAGATCTCATAACTGTCCTCCTGCTGCTTGACATCCGCCCGGTGGATGTAGTTCCGGAAGGCGGCCTCGATCCTGGCTCCGTCTTCATAATACTGCTGGGGGCAGAGAGAGGCACCTAAGCCTGGGGGCAGCCAGGCCAACGGAGGGAGGAGGGGAGTGCCAGGGGCAGCAAGGGAAAGGCGGGAGACCACTGTCCTCGGGCGATTTACCACAGCTTCCGGCTTCCAGTGAGACACGGGCGGGTCGGGCTCGATGGGGGCGCCTTCCCTCAGCAGGTCGGTGCTGACCGTGCAGACCCCTGCGGAGGGAGAAGCAGGGGTCAGCGGAGACCCCGGAGTCCCTTCAAGGGGCTGAGGGAGCAGGGCGGCCACTTACCTGGCAGGTGTTTGCTGATGATGTCGGTGGTTTCCACTGCCCGCGTCATGGAGGAATGGACGATTTTATTAAACTTCAGCCCCAAGCTTGCAAGTCGGAGGCCAGTGAGCTCAGCCTGCTCACGACCTTGAAGGTGAAACGTGAGAATTACATGCGGCTGGAGTCACTCCTGTGTACCCCACAAACACTTTAGTCTTTACCAAGTAACAACGAGACGATCTGGCCACCTCCAGTCCCAGGCAGAAGAAAACATTAAAAACAATGACGAAGGTAGAGGATTGCTAACATCTGGGAGGGCCCCGCCTACTACTTCTGAGTCCCTCACACAATCTCACTCAACTTTGTCCAAAGGCTGAGGCTTCAAGGCTGTGTGAGCCCCACAGACGTGAACATGGGTGTTGCTGCCTGCGCCAACCCCCCCGCCTCGCCCCCCGGGCCCCAGCACGGGCAACCTTGTTTTCTGCTGCTGCACGACCTTGCTTTTTTTACAAATTGAAGGCAAGACCTTCCACCAGGAAAACAATGACAACCGGCTTTACGGCCGTGGCCTGGAACCACACCCACAGCATCTTGGTGATTAAAAAGCTGCTTTGTGTCAGAGGCTGAGAATTACCGATAATGACAATGCTCAAACCTGGGCCAGAGGTCCCGGCCACAGGGGCCGTTCGGGGCCGAGCCCCGCCACATACCCAGGGGTGTCAGGGTGCGGTCCTTCTCCCGGGGGGCATCCGTGTGGTACTGGGAGTGCCTGATGAGGAAGATGTGCCGCGTGGCCTTGGCTTTGTAGTTGTCTATCCTGGACGCCACGTCCTCGTCTCCAGAGCACGCGTTCCTCTTCCGGAGGTTGACCAGGGAGAGAGGTTCTCGCCTGTTGTTGAGACAGGAGACTGTATGTCCCTCCTCACACGTCACCCCTAAGAACGTCTGACAAGATAGCCTCGCTGTCCAGCAAAAACAGCGAGGAGCCAATGCCCTCGTCCACCCAGAGCCGGGTGCCAGGCCTCCTGTGGGCGGACAGACACCCAAAGCCCTTCTGCGAGGACGGAGAGAGGAAGCAGGTAACGGGGAGGAGTGGCTGTGGGAGGGCGGCCACAGCCCGCGGAAGGGGAGGCCGAGTCTGTCCAACAGTAGCCACTAGCCCTGTGGCTACTTCATTCGAAACAAAGAAAATGAAATGAAAATGAAATCCCACTTCCCCAGTCACGCTAAGCAGCACATGGGACTTTCCGGGCAGGAAGAGGCGGTGAGATTTCATTCAGGAACTCACTTTTACTTATCCGATGTATCACAAGTACTGCCGGCAGCTAAGTACCTACGCACCTGCACGGCTTTGGTTTTTAAATGTAAGTTAACGTTCAATAAGACTAAGAACCGTTTCCAGGTCACAGGAGTCACCTTTCAAGTGCTGATAAGGGCACGTGTCTGGGGCCAGGGACCGACCCGAGGTCCCGGGAGGCGTCTGCGAGTCCCGCCCCGGCGGGTCCTCCCTCCTCAGCATCCACACCCTCCTCCCGGCGCGGGGGATCGACAGCCACCTCCGCCGGAGCGAGCGCAGGGAGGGACCGGGTGGCAGCCCCGCCGCGAGGTCCTCAGCCCAGAACGAAAATGACCCCCGTCCTCGCCGCTTGCGCTCGCCCCTCCGGGCAGACGAGAGGCTGCAGCTGCGGGGGGATCGCCTTACGTCAGGCCAGAGACCCCGCACGGAGCACGCCGCCCTCGGTGAACCGGCTTCCATACCGAGAGGCGCGGCGAGGGCCCGGGAGGACCCACCCGCCACCCGCCTGCAGCCCCGGCCGCGCACCTGTCCCAGTTGGGGTTCCAGACACCTGGCCCGGGATGCACGGCTCCCGCCCACGCCGGCGGCTCGACCACGCGCGGCTCCGCGTCCCCACCCGCGCGGGGCTTTCCCACCGCCACGGCCGAGAAGAGCACGGCGGCCGAGCCGCCCGCCAGGCCGCAGGCCGCCAGCTGCAGCGCCTGCCGGAACGCCATGCCTGCCGGGCTTCCCGCTCCGCGCACGCGCCTAAGAGCGAGGACGGCGCGCGGCGCAGCTCACGCTTCCGCCGACGTCTGGTCCCGGCGAGCGCGCCGACGCTGCGGGGCGGAAGTCCCGCCTCCTAGGGCTCCGGGAACACCAACTTCCGGTAGAAGGTGCAGCGGAGAGGTGAGTGACCGCTCAGTGGTTCGTACCCCCCAGTTCCTGCAAAAGTCTGGGTGCAGGTCACTGGAGCCTTCGAGAGCGAGTGTCCCCGCCGCCCGGACAGCGCGGGGCCCGGGCCCCGGGGAGCGCAGGCGCGGAGAGGAGGCGGGCGAGGCGGCCTCGGAGAGGAGCACTCGGGGTTCAGTTTAGTGAACTGTGGGGCCGGGGAGGAGAGGGGGCTTCGTTTGTAGTAAAATAGGCGCCACCGGGCTTACTGTCTTTACCACGTGGTGCAGCCGACACCGCCCTTGTCCCCGCTACGTCCTCCCGGACTCCCCCGCCCACGTCACTCACTCCGCATTTTCCCACGCGGCTGCGGCTCCCGCCATCTGTTTCTATGCGGTTGACTCGAGGGACCGCGTATAAGTGGGATCGTCTAGTACTTTTTCTTTGGGGACCAGATTCTTCCACCTCCGTCATGTAGCAGGAGCCTGACTTCCCTTCCTTCTTAATATTGAATGAGGTTCCACTGTATGGAGAGCCCACATCTTGCTTTCCATTCATCCTTTGGTGGACACTTGGGTGTTTCCACCTCCATGCTGTGGACACGCGTGGGCAAATCTCTCTTCCAGTCCCTGTTCTCGGTTCTCTGGGGTTGCGTGCCCGTAAGTCAAGTTCCTGGGTCATCCCTGCGGGTGTTCAGGTTGGGAAGTGACATGATCTGAGTTACATTTTTTAAAAAAACTCTGTCCCAGCTGGCGTGGCTCAGTGGTTAAGCATAAACCCATGAACCAGGTGGTCACGATTCGGTTCCTGGTCAGGGCACCTGACCAGGTTGGGGGCTCCATTCCCAGCCAGTCAATGATTCTCTCTCATCATTGATGTTTCCCTCTCTCCCTATCCCTTCCTCTCTGAAGCACGTGCACACACACACACACACACGTTTTTGTTGTTGTTGTTTGTTTTTAAGTAAAAAGAGACGTGAGGGCAGCCCCCAAAGCCACAGCAGTCATTAGGAGAAACTTAAATTACCCTTGAAAACAGTTAATTATTGTTTATTGTGATCCTAATGCAGTCTAAGGTGACAAATGAAGTTGTTCTTAGTGTTTTTGAGGTTGCTGCTTCTCCATCATTTCAGGGCACGTTGATCACATGATCTGGAGTCAGACTCGTTCTGACCGGGCTGTTTCTGCTCACCCTGGGCAGGCTGGCACTCCCCCGGTGTGGCTTGGCCGTTTGGGGGTAACTTCCCCGGTCATCCTCACTTCCCCAGGGAGGCCAGGTAGGCGTACCAGAACAGAGCCACCAGGTTGGCAAAAAGCACGCGGAACTGCCGGAGGGAACAGAGGCCCAAGTGAGCGCAAGGCCCTGACCACACCCACCGGACTGCCGGAGGGAACAGAGGCTCAAGTGAGCGCAAGGCCCTGACCACACCCACCGGCACCAGTCCCCTCGGGCAGAGTTCCTTCCCTGGCGGGTCCAGCCAGCCCATTGCACTCACAGGCCTTTACTTTGTCCGGAGCCCTGGGCCAGACACACACACACACACACACACACACACACCCCGCAGAGAGCGATGGGGAAGACAGAGCTCCTGCCTGGCCAGGTGTACACAGACCAGCAGGGGAACACAGTACCTTCCTTCACGAACACAGCTTCAGGCCCTGGCTCGGCCTCGTACCCCGGGACTGACCATCACAAGGTGGCTTCCTCCAGTCCTTCTGACACCCTCCCGACTTGCTCTTCACTCTAAGCTGTCACTGTCCCACTGCCCTGCCTCAGTGATCTCACAGGCAACCCCCTCCCTGACCTCTAGTCAGCGAGTCTATCTAGAAGGTCAGCTACTTGGAAGAAACAGTTTGGTCTGTCTGGTTCACCACTGGATCCCAAGTCTAGAGCAGCAGGGCGGGAAGCAGGTGCTCAGCAAACATTTGTTGAATTAACCACTGCCCCTTAGGCATCACCTGCAACCAACTAAAACGGAGCTTCAGCCACAGGGCACTCTGTCCCTGCTACCTTCACAGATCCCGCTGTCCAGCCTCTGACAACCACAGGTCCGTGTCCTCAGCTATCCTGTCTTCTCATGTCTTTCCTTTTTTGGGGAGAGTGTATGGTCTCCTTATCTACCTGTCCCCTGGGTTCGCTCTTGGGAAAACCCTCGACCCTCCCTACCTCTCACCTCTAGGAGCCCCAGGCCCGTGCACAGGCAGGTCTTAAGCCGCTGTGGCCCCCGTGTCTGCTCGCTCTCAAGTTTACCCCTTAACCCCTCTTCAGTCTGCCCTACCCACCCCCGGCCCTCCCAGAGGAAAGGAGGTGTGGAGAGAGGTCCCCAGTGACAGTCACCCTGAGAAAACAAAGATTGTCACAAAGGGGAAAGGCGACTGATGGGAAATGGCCTCTGGGGGAGGCTGGCGGCCTCACCTGGATGGGGACGTAGTTGATGTTAATGAACTGCACCGGGGTCCACACGCGCCAGTTCATCTGCAGGGCCGGCCAGAACGCGCTCCTCACCTTGGCAGCGCCAGCGGTGGCGTCTCCGCCCTGGAAGGAAACCACGTGAGGGAGCCCCATGCCTCAGGCGGAGATTGGGGCACTGGGTCTGGGGACCCCAAACCCTAATACAGTGGGGGTTCTCACTTTCGACTTTGTTGCTTGTAAACATGGGCAGCACATGGGGTGGGTAAGGAGCGGGTCAGCTCTAAGTCCACTTGGGGAATCACCAGAGCAGTGAGCGCTCACACTGGGGACCTGTGTCCTCGCCCTCGCCCTCGCCCTGAGCTGACCTGATGATGTAGGGTAGGTGTGAGGGCTCTGATCCTGCATCACTGCCGGGAGGGCAAACGCGGTGGCCTTTCAGAGGACGGTTCTAGGAGTTGGCCAACCAGGAATCCCGCACAAAAGGACGGCCTGTGGCGGAAGTGTGCTTTGAATCTGCACAAAAGGGCGGGTAGGTGACGGTAGGCACGCCGGCTGTGGCGGCGGCTGGAGTGTGTGTGGCTGTTAGTGTGAGCTGTGGCCCACTGTGCTCCTACATATACCCTTCATGTGCCGGGACTTGATGCACTTTGATGACACTTTTTACTCTTCAATGAAAATACGCTCCCTTTGCATTTGGAAGGAAATAAAAGAAACAGCCACTGTACGCTCACTTCTAACGTGGGCACCCTTTGCTTCCTCCGGGCTCAGATGCCCGAGGACTTCCCAGGCATTTCTTTTTACTCTCAGGGATTACGAGCAATCACAGTTAAGTCTAAACATATTCCTACTTATCCCCAGGGCCACTTTACACAACACAGGTTATTCTCCTTAGTGACGAGAACTGGAAATGTAGTTTTCGAAGTAAAACCTGAGTGAGAAGCCTTTACCTGCTGCGATTGGCTGTAACAAATTCCAAGGCAGATCACGACCCATTCTGGGCCCAGAGCAGGCTGGCAGAGCGCGGTGGGCAGGGGTTGGAGGGCCCGTTAGAGCGGACCTGGCCTGGTGCAGCTGGCTCTGACGTGGGCTCGATGTGGGTAAGTGGGCCTGCTCGGAGCACCCAGGCTCTGCGGGTGCTGAGTTAGCTCAGGCTCCCGCAACATCACCGACCCTCTTCAGAGTCATGTTTTGTAATGTATAAAACGTACAGGAGCCGAAACCGGTGTGGTTCAGTGGATAGAGCGTCAGTCTGCGGACTGAGGGGTCCCGGGTTCGATTCCGGTCAAGGGCACGTACCTTGGTTGTGAGCACATCCCCAGTAGGGGATATGCAAGAGGCAGCTGATTGGTGATTCTCTCTCTTCCTCTCTGTAAAAAATCAATAAAATATATATTTTAAAAAAATAAATAATAAATAAAATGTACAGGACTGCTGAGGGAACCGTTACACTGAGGACAGCTATCCATGTGTCAGAAAGCTGGGGGACAGGCTAGAGGAGTTGTTTCCTTTACACATTCAGTGGCTTGACCTGAGGAGTGGCTGCACAACCCACGCTCAGGGACACCCGGCTGCGTGGCTCCCCCGCGCGCCCACAGGCACTGCCGGACGGCGGTGCTTTGCTTCTGACGTTGACCAAGGCAGCTATGACCCTTCCAAGTGAGAGGCGGACCCCGAGTCCCCCCCAGGGCCAGGCTAAGAGGCCCTGCCCAGTGGGGATCGGCGGCAGAGACCGACCTCCAGGAAGCTCATGGCGAAGAAGAACAGCAGCAGGAAGGCCGGCGCGAAGAGGAGGCGGTCCAGCAGCAGCCTCTTGACCCCGGCCCAGGGCACGTCGGGCGGGACCCAGTGCTCCATGAAGAGGTAGAAGAAGTGGCTCAGCGGCCCCGTGAAGAAGAACCTGAGGCCACAGGGAGGCGGGGTGAGCTGGGCCACCTTCTCAGGGCTGGGCTCACCCCCAAACCCTGCCTCTCAGCACTGACCACACAGACCCTGGTCCTGGGAAGTGTGCTTTGAATCTGCTTCCAGCATCCCTGCCTGCTTCTCACAGACCGGACTTTTCCTGCCTTGGGCTCCTGCCTCCTTCACGCGGCCTGCTCCTTCTCAACACTGCGGCTTGGAGGGCCCTTTCCTGGTGGCTCCAGGTCACAAGCCCATTGCTGTCCTTGCCCCTCTTCTAGGCCCAGGTGGCTTTCCTCACCGCGTTTACCACCGCGTGCCATGACTCCTTTGCTTAGTGCACAGTGCCCTCTCTCTGCCTCAGAAGGTAAAGCGGTCACAGGGCAGGACCTGCCTGTCTGTACACTGCTGTCTGCAGTGCCTCGGGCAGGGCCGGAGTCGAAGGTGCGCAGCATGAATAAGTGCACCCCCACTCCCACCCTTGAGTTTCTCATCGAACCCTCGGGAGTTAGCCAGGGTGAACCCTGGGCTGTGCAGCTGCTTGCAGGAGTTGCTGCTGCTCTTCCCAGAGTGTGCAGAGACCTGGGCTCAGCCACAGCACCTGCACCTGCTGCCCCTAAAACTCAAGTCATAGAAAGATGGGCAGGGACTCGGGGATTTCCCACTTCTCAGTGAAAGCCTTTACACAAGTGGTTCTCGTCCGTTCTCACGCTGAGGACCTGTGGCCTGGAGCAGGGCTTCTCCATGGGAGGAGAACGGAAGCCTAGAGGATGGAAAACTGGTGGGTGAGGCCTCCAGGTGGCTCTGGTCCCCTCCCCAGGGTGGGAATTACAGCTTTCAATACGCTGAGTAAAGTTAACAATGCGGACAGAAATGGCATCTGTGAATTTCAAATTGGGGGGGGGGGGGGGTCAATCTTGTGCAAAAAAAAAATTGTTGCAAAAGACTTAAAAAATATCCATCTATACAAACACTACTTTTGGCCAGAGAACTCATGGAGGGTTTAATCAGTAAAACTCCTAAATCTCTGAGCTTTTGTAATTCAATAAGTGGTTCGGAAACTGGACGTTTTAAAGGACACCTAGATGCTTTTCTAATGCTAATGCTATGAAAATAACTAACTGGCCGTATCTGAGTCTGATGTCCACTCCCATGGGCCTTCGAGTCTTGAGGTTGGCCTCTAGGTTCTGGGGAGTTATCTGCTCTTAGTTTTCTCAGCTCAGTGAAGAGTCCATGCCCACCCATGAAATTAAAATTGACCATATAAAGCTAGAAAATAAGCTAACGATGTCCCGTTCTGATTTCCTCCCATTATTCCTCCAGTGCTTTTTACAATTACTTTTCCAAATTAGATTACTCCAGAAACTTGATAACTTGGCTTGGGTGCCCTGGGCTCCGCTGTGGAACTCACCCATAAATGGCATATCTGAGAGGCCCGCTGACTTCGAGCTTTTGAGAGCAGTTTCCTTTTTTCCGCTTCTTAATAGTCTGGGCCAGGAAGTTCCCAAGTGCTGACAAGATGCCGCTGTGGACAGAGAGGGAGTAAGGACACGGGAGGACCAGCAGGAGGGCTGTTCTGAGATCCGGCTGGGGAGGGGCGGAGACCAGTCCTCATCAAAGCAGCTGCAGTGCAAGGTGCCCTTGTCAAAGGGTGGGGATCCCAGCCGGATCTCCACTTGGTGGGTGTGCCAGTGTCGATGTCCTGGAGGGTGATACACCATCACTGCCAAAGGCGACCGTGTGTGGCGGGTAGGTGACGGGAGAGGTCCTTATGAAGAGTATGAACTTTGACTCCATTGGTGGATAAAACCCGTACACGTGAGAAAGCTATGGAACTAAACACACACACTTGACAAGTGCAAGAAACGCTGGGAGCCCTGACCAGTGTGGCTCAGTGGATAGAGCATTGGCTTGCTGACTGAAGGGTCCCGGGTTCGATTCCGGTCAAGGGCATGTACCTTGGTTTTGGGCACATCCCCAGTAGGAGGTGTGCAAGGAGGCAGCTGATTGATGTTTCTGGCTCTATTCCCTCTCCCTCTCTGTAAAAAAATAATAAATAAATAAATAATCAATAAGATATATTTAAAAGAAAAAGAAAGGTTGGGGAAATCTGAGTCTGACCGATGGACTGTGCCCACACCAGCGTTCCGGTTGTGATGGTGTATTCGTTCTACAATTGTTACCGAGCGGGGAGACTGGGTAAGTGTACAGGGATCTCTGTTATTCCTCATAACTGCATGTGAGTCTCCAATTGTCACAATAAAAATGTCCATGAAGAAAGAGGCCCAGTGTCTCCAAAGCTTGGTCTTTCGCTGACTTCCGAGAAGCTCTCTGAGCTGAAATATCCAAAGGGCTCCCTGAGGGTGCTGATCCCTGAATCTGACCCCTGGCTACTCCTCACCCTCTCCCTGCTCACATGCACAGGCCTTCCCACTCCCAAGCCTGCTCCTCCCTCAGGACCTTTGCTCTGCTGGACCCACTGCCAAAGCATTTGCTGCCCTTCTGCCCCGACCCCTTCGTTCAGGCTTCTGTTCATGTCCCCGTTTTATGCATTTATCTGCTTTTTGTCTAGTTCTTCGCTAAAATGCAGCCTCCGTGCGGGCCAGGGCCCTGCCCACCTGTCCGATGCCCGAACACAGGGAGCATGCTGTGCATACTGACGAAAGGCTGGACTAATAAAGAGGGAACAAGCTTATAAAATTAGTGAAATGAGGGTAACGGGCGGGGGAAAGTCTCATAAAAAGTTCAGAGCTGCCAATTAAAGGCGGAGCTGACCAGCACCCCGCGGAGCTCTGCCAAGAAGACCGACCCCATCACCTCGCCCTCTGACGGGTACAGGGCCCTCCCCAGCCCCTCTGGGAACTGGTCCGCAGGACCCCCAGATGGGGTGCTTCCTCTGCCCAGCGTCGGCGCCTACGGATCACTGTTCCGAGCCGATCGCACCGAACAGCAGCTGCCGAGCTCCCCGCGGGCTCCGGAAGCTCGTGGTACACGCGGGATTTCTCTTTCCTCACTCAGTCCCCCGGGAGGCCCCAACCCGGGGGTCCACGCCGCCCCCCGCCCGGCTCCGGCCGCCGCGCGCCGACCTGGTGGCCGCCTTGGTGAGCACCGGGTAGAGCTGCAGGAGGCGCAGGTACTGGGCGAGCGCTCGCCGCGGCAGCGCCCCGAGCCCGGCCTCAGCCCGCAGTCTGGACGCCGCGGGCGCCATCCCTCCGCGCGCCGAGCCCGCCCCGGGCCTGCTCGGCGTCGGGCGCCGGGACTGCCAAACACTCCCGCCCGCAGCGCCTCCGCGCACTGGTCCTCGGGCCGCTCGCCCGCCGCCTCCCTCCGGGCGCCGGCGGCGATTGGATGTCGACGCGCCTGCGCACTCCTCACCGGAGGCCGGAGGATCGCCTCCCCCCGCGGGCACGCGCGGCGATTGGACCTCGGCGACAAGCCTCCTGATTGGGTGGCGGGGCGCTTCCGGCCTCTCGCGAGAGGCGGTGGGAGCGCGCCAAATTTCACCGCGGCTGTGGCGGCGGCGGCGCGATGGTGCTGAGGAACAGCGGGCGGCGGTACGCGGAGCCCGACGCGGACGGCGAGGCCAGCCGGTGAGGGGCGCCCGGGCGGGCGGCGGACGCGCGGCCTTCCTCCTCGTGGCTCCGGGCTCGCGCCGAAGAGGCGGCGGGCGCGCGGGGAGCGGGGCGGGCGAGGGGCGGCCGCTGTGGCGGGGCCGTCCGTCACCTGAACCGGCGGCCCCGGAGGTGGCGGCTCCTTCCCTGAGGCGGGGGCGCTGTCCGTGCGGGTGGGCGGCCCTCCCGGGAGCTTGACGTGACCCGAGCACCCCGCGTGTGTGCGGTGCGCTGTCAGTCACACATGTGTTGGTGATTCCACCGCAATCAAAACAGCTGTTGGGCCCCACTGTTGGGCCCCAAGGATCCCCTCTGCCGCGCTTTGACAGCCCCAGCCCCGCCCCCAAACCTTCCCGGGCGCCGTGTCCAGGTTTGGTCCTTCCTTCCACTCAGGGACGATGGCCCCTCTTCCTCCTCTGTCTCCGCGCTCAAGCGCCTGGAGCGCAGCCAGTGGACGGACAAAATGGATTCTCGGTTCGGGTTTGAGAGGCTCAAGGAGCCCGGGGAGAAGACCGGCTGGCTGATCAACATGCACCCTGTGAGCACTGGGCTCCCGCGCCCTCGTCTGAGGGCGGGCGCGCCCTGCGTGGGAGCCTGTTGTTTGGGTGGCACAGGTGGAGATGGGCTTGTCTGGAGTTCTTTCACTTTTTAACATTTCGGGCCATATGAGACGTTGAGAAGAAGGGGTTTGGGGTACGGGGATCGGGGGGGTGAGAGTATAACTTCCAGGAATGAGGGAGAGCCCTGGCCGGCGTGGCTCAGTGGATGGAGCATGGGTCTGTAGATAGAAGGGTCGCAGGTTCAGTTCCATTCAGGGGCACAGGCCCGGGTTGCGGGCTCAGTCCCCGTGGGGGCCGTGCAGGAGGCAGCAGATTCATGATTCTCTCTCATCATGGATGTTTCTATTTCCCTCTCTCTTCCTCTCTGAAATCAATAAAAATATATTTATATATTTTAAAGAAGAATAAGGGAGAAATGGAGAGATCCCCTCTGGAGGCTGCTGTGCTGGGTTCTGGTGACGGGGCCGGTGGTGTGGGTGGGGAGGGAGGTGGTGGTCATGTAGAGCAGGAGGAACGGGCTCTACTGTGTAGAGCAGGTGGGGGACCTTCTTCCTGCCGAGGACCTTTTGGATATGTATGACATCGTCCGTGGGCCAGACAAAATTATCAGCTAAAAAATTAGCCTGCTATATTTGGTCAAACTTAAAATCATATATATATTAGGGAGAGATAAATAGAAACATCAATGATGAGAGAGTCATTGATTAGCTGCCTCCTGCATGCCCCCTCCTGAGCCCACAACCCAGACATGTGCCCATGACCAGAATTGAACCCAAGACCCTTCAGTCCGCAGGCCAACACTCTGTCCACTGAGCCAAAATGCTTAGGGCTGGTCAAACATTTCATTAACTCACCCATAATGCCTTGGCAAGGGCCAGACCCAATGACCCTCCCCCCGCCCTCATGCCCATATTGATTCTTGTAGACTGAGGTTTTAGATGAAGATAAACGCCTGGTCAGTGCAGTGGATTACTACTTTATCCAGGACGACGGGAGCAGATTTAAGGTGAGCCCCTGAAACCAAGAAGGTGGACCCACTCGGTGACGAGGCTCCGCAGCTGAGAATGACGAGTGTTTGTTTAGCTCCGCAGCTGCAAGGCTTGGGAGGCCTCCCCGTGCAGCTGCCTGGAGCCCATCAGCAGCATGGCTCTCGCAGCGCCTCAGTGACCACCTAGGGTGTGCTGTGCTGAGAGAAGCTAGCTGGGAAGGGGGGCAGGGCCATGCAGCCCTAAATCCCAATGGCCCCATTTCTCCTAAGAGGGACGAGGCCAGGGTGCACTGGATCTGACAGCCTCTCTTCACCATTCTCTTTCCCTTTCTCCTCGCCCTTGAATGGGTTGGTGACTCTTGCAGGTGGCGCTGCCCTACAAACCATACTTCTACATCGCGGCCAGAAAGGTAAGTCTGTGGCTTATAAGATCAGTTCAGATGTACTGTGCCTCTGTTCTGTGAGGAGCGTCAGGACTGGAAATACAGAGGCCTCTGGAGAAAGCAGGGAAGGAAATGGGTTTTACTAATGGAAAGTCCTCTCGTTCTGTCCTGACTTAGGGTTGTGAGCGAGAAGTTTCATCCTTTCTCTCCAAGAAGTTTCAGGGTAAACTTGCTAAAGTAGAGACCGTTCCCAAAGAGGATCTGGACTTGGTGAGTGCCGCTCAGACCTTCCAGGGCATGTGAAACTGGGCCCATGGGGGTGGGGGCATGAGTGGGGAGGGGTGGAGCGTTGGAATGGGGGGTTGAGGACAAATGTGATACCTTACTCAATAAAGAAATTTTTAAAAATGAAAAATAAAATAAAACTGGCCAGCAGTGATGTGGAGGAGGCCAAGCTTGGCACCTGTGGGGAGGGAGGTACCGATGATGGGCCTTGATGCCTGGACGTCCCTTCCGAGAACTCGAGTGGCATAGTTGGGCCCAGAGGCCAGGTTGGACAAGGTGCTTTGGAGTTGCCAGCTCTTTGAAAAGTGCATTTATTTACCTTTGAGTCCTTCTGTCCTTATTTTCTCTCCCCAATAAGATCCTTTTTCTCTTGAACTCATAAGCATCATCTCTTCACTCTGTAGCCAAATCACTTGGTGGGTTTGAAGCGAAATTACATCAAGCTCTCTTTCCACACCGTGGAGGACCTTGTCCGAGTGAGGAAGGAGATATCCCCTGCCGTGAGGAAGAACCGGGAGCAGGGCCACTCCAGTGACACCTACACGGCCATGCTCTCCAGGTAGGTTTCCTTCTGAGCAGAGCAGCTGGTCCGCCCACAGGCCTGTTTCCCATTTCCCCAAATTGACAAGATGGATGGAAGGTGGGAAAACTCAGCAATTAACTTACCCTCTCCCTCTCCCCCTCACTTTTGCAGTGTTCTGCAAGGAGGCAGTGTGATCATGGACGAAGAGGAAACCTCGAAGAAGACTGCGGACCAGCTGGACAACATCGTGGACATGCGAGAGTATGACGTGCCCTACCACATCCGCCTCTCCATCGACCTGAAGATCCACGTGGTGAGTGGGTGAAGCCGACAGCGGGAGGGGCTGAAGGGTAAATCCAGGAAGACGGATGCAGAACGCTAGCTCAAGACGACCTGTCCTGCAGGCACACTGGTACAACGTAAGGCACCGGGGGAGCACCGTGCCGGTGGAGATCACCCGCCGAGACGACCTGGTAGAGCGGCCGGTAAGTGCTGCTTACTGTCCTCCATCCCCGAGTTCCCCACTGGTGTTTGGGAGGCCTCATCAGTGCTGACAGGTGAATCTGATTCAGAGGTTTGCTTCTTCCTAAATACCTTCTGGAAGGCGTGTGGACTCGTCATTTCCGGGTGAGTTTCCAGCCTGCGAGTGTAGTTCCACCTGTGCCTGAGCATCCCCAGGTGATGTGCGTTTGATGGGCTGGATGGGAGTGTGAGGGAGCCCTCAGCTTCCACGTAGAGCACATGTGTCAAAAACAAGGCCCGCGGGCCAAATCCGTCCCGCCAGGCCTTGCAATGTGGCCCGCACCGCGCTGTCATCACTGCACTCCGCTGCGTTTCCATCACAATGACAGTTTATGACTGTTCAGTTAACCATTTGGCCCGCGACTTAGGCTGGATTTTAGATTTTGGCCCCTTCTCTGATTGAGTTCGACACCCCTAAAGAGCGTTGACAGTGAGTGATGTGGTGAAAAAAGGGTTCATAACTAGAAGGCCTTGGCTCAGGGCAGCTTCATGGTCAGGTTTTCTCATTTCTAAGACTGCGATGCCAGCCCTGAGCCAGTCTTCTGTCGAGGTTGTCACAAAGGCCAAAATGAGACCATGCTTGCTTGCTTTCTTTCTTTCTTCCCTTCTTTGCTTTTTTTCTTTCTTTTCTTTTCTTTTTCTTTCTTTTTTTTTTTTTTTTTTAATGATTTTTTGAAACAGGACAAGAGAGAAAGAAACAATGATTTGTTTTACTTATTCATGTCTGCATTGGTTGATTCTTGTATGTGCCCTTACTGGGGATTGAACCTGCAATCTTGGTGGATCACTCTAGGACCCTGTGGTTTTGGCATTTGACATTGAGACGACCAAACTGCCCCTCAAGTTTCCTGATGCTGAGACGGACCAGATTATGATGATTTCCTACATGATTGATGGCCAGGTGAGCAGTGCCTTCTGGAGTGTGAGCTCCCCGGAAAGAGGGACCTTGTCCCCAAACCAGAACAGTGTGCACCCTGTGACTCATAGTTTTGGGGTGAATAATGAGTGAGCGGAATCCAAGAAAGTGAGCAAGCGAGCTGTTCTGACACCAGCATGCTCCCCCTTCCGATGAGAGTCTGAGACGCTCAGGTGGGGGGGTGGGGGGTGGAAGCTAAGGCACCTCCCAGTTGCTGCTCAGGTTGTTGTGGTCTGAGTTTCTGGGCCGAGTGCCAGGAGGCATGCTGAGCTGTGTCCACATAACTGCTGGTGAACTTCCAGGGCTACCTCATCACCAACAGGGAGATCGTGGCAGAGGACATCGAGGACTTTGAGTTCACCCCCAAGCCGGAGTACGAAGGGCCCTTCTGTGTCTTCAATGAACCTGACGAGGTGAAGAGGGGTCACTGGGCAGCTGCTGGTGATGTGGAAAGAGGCCCTTAGGAGGCCTCGGCATGCCTGCGGTCAGAATGGCAGCTTCTGGGCTTGGGTCCCTGTTGTGACCCTCACGCGTGTGCAGGCGCTAATAAAGGGTTGCTGGGAGAACTTGGGGAGAGGTACTTGGAAGGAGTTTGAAAGAGGACAAGCAAACCTCTGAGTGCTGTGATGCTTTGAATTCAGGTCCATCTAATCCAGAGATGGTTTGAACACGTCCAGGAGACCAAGCCCACCATCATGGTCACCTACAATGGGGACTTTTTTGACTGGTGAGTCTAATGCCTAATTTTGAGTAACTAAACAGTGTTCAGAGGACAGATTCCAGGACACTGGGAGTATACCAAGTGCTACTGACATGTGTGCTGAGAAGTTGGAGGGAGGGAAGGGGCACTGCATTTGAGGAGCTCCTGGGATAGTGGGGCATCCTCTGAGGGCCGTCTTCCCTGTTCCTGAGGGGATTAGAGGCTAATCTGAAAGGGCTTGTGTGTCCCCTCTGGTTCCTAGGCCGTTTGTGGAGGCCAGAGCAGCCGTCCACGGACTGAACATGTACCAGGAGATCGGATTCCAGAAGGACAGCCAAGGGGAGTACAAGGCACCCCAGTGCATCCACATGGACTGCCTCAGGTAGGGCCCGCCGCTCCCTAGCAGCCTGTCTGCCCC